TGATGCTTAATGATGCTTAATGATGGTAAATGATGCTTAGTGGTGCTCAATGGTGCTTAATGATGCTTAATGATGCTTAATGATGGTAAATGATGCTTAATGGTTCTTAATGATGCTTAATGATGGTTAATGATGCTTAATGGTTCTTAATGATGCTTAATGATGGTAAATGATGCTTAGTGGTGCTTAATGGTTCTTAATGATGCTTAATGATGGTAAATGATGCTTAGTGGTGCTTAATGACGCTTAATGATGCTTAATGATGGTAAATGATGCTTAATGATGCTTAATGATGCTTGATGATGCTTAATGATGCTTAATGATGGTTAATGATGCTTAATGATGCATAATGGTTCTTAATGATGCTTAATGATGGTAAATGGTGCTTAATGATGCTTAATGATGCTTAGTGGTGCTTAATGGTTCTTAATGATGCTTAATGATGGTAAATGATGCTTAGTGGTGCTGAATGGTTCTTAATGATGCTTAATGATGGTAAATGATGCTTAGTGGTGCTTAATGATGCTTAATGATGCTTAATGATGCTTAATGATGGTTAATGATGCTTAATGATGCTTAATGATGCTTAATGATGCTTAATGATGGTTAATGATGCTTAATGATGCTTAATGGTTCTTAATGATGCTTAATGATGCTTAATGATGCTTAATGATGCTCAATGGTGCTTAATGATGCTTAATGATGCTTAATGATGCTTAATGATGCTTAATGATGCTTAATGATGGTAAATGATGCTTAGTGGTGCTTAATGGTTCTTAATGATGCTTAATGATGGTAAATGATGCTTAGTGGTGCTTAATGGTTCTTAATGATGCTTAATGGTTCTTAATGATGCTTAATGATGGTTAATGATGCTTAATGATGCTTAATGATGGTAAATGATGCTTAGTGGTGCTTAATGGTTCTTAATGATGCTTAATGATGGTAAATGATGCTTAGTGGTGCTTAATGGTTCTTAATGATGCTTAATGGTTCTTAATGATGCTTAATGATGGTTAATGATGCTTAATGATGCTTCATGATGCTTCATGATGCTTAATGATGCTTAATGATGCTTAATGATGCTTAATGATGCTTAATGATGCTTAATGATGGTTAATGATGCTTAATGATGGTTAATGATGCTTAATGATGCTTAATGATGGTTAATGATGCTTAATGATGGTTAATGATGCTTAATGATGCTTAATGATGGTTAATGGATGGTTAATGATTATGGTTCATGATGATGGTTCATGATGATGGTTAATGATGATGGTTAATGATGCTTAATGATGGTAAATGATGCTTAGTGGTGCTTAATGGTTCTTAATGATGCTTAATGATGGTAAATGATGCTTAGTGGGGCTTAATGATGCTTAATGATGCTTAACGATGCTTAATGATGCTTAATGGTGCTTAATGATGCTTAATGATGCTTAATGATGGTTAATGATGGTTAATGACTGTTAATGATTGCTAATGATGGTTAATGATGGTTAACGGATGTTAATGACCAATGAACAAACGTGCATGCTAGCGGCGGCAGATGTGCTCGGGACAGACCTTGAAGATTGACAAAGGTAAGCCTTTTCAACCTATGGATGTCATAGAAGTAGTGGATGACCTACAAAGTGGTGCCCCATAGTTAACTAAGTTGGTTTATGACTCTAATAACTAGGGTTTATGATAGATATATCTATACTTACCGTGGTTTTTAAAGCAACTTTTAACTGAGGGGCACCACCTTGTACATAGTCTATATGGGGGTTTCGATAAATGGTGGTACCCCAATAGCTGGATGGTTTATAAAGGAAAATCCCATTAAAATGGATGATGACTGGGGGTACCCCTATTTCAGGAAACCTCCACATAGTATTGGACAATGCCGGGAAATTCTGCTGCTGATAAAGCTTTCTTGGCCGGGGAACGCACGCAAATTCAGATATCGATGATGTTTGAGATTTGGTTCCAGCCGACGTTGAGTGTCTAGGTGGGGTGTCAATTACTTGTTGTATATTAATCAACGATTCGTTCGTTTAGTATGTTCCTCCTCGAACACATAAAAGATTGGATGATGTTGCCACTTGCTAGACATGACCGCCAGGAAAGGACTCAAAGGCTCGCAGAAGAGAAGGCAGAAGCGGGTTGGGCCGTTCAAGCTCAATGAATAATATACTAAAACTGGCTGAGAACTTAGAATGAGAATAGCACAAAGCAGCAATCATATCTCCTTTACCAACAGTTATTTGGCAAGTTAGTGTTTTTAATGGCTTTGCTTATTACTTCACAGCAGTACTTGTTGGGTTTTTGATCTATGGTGCATCACAGATTCGTTGCGCACTAAAACCTGGGATGGTCATGAATCCATTGAGATGGATTTCTATGTTCAAATGACCATGCCTCATAGACCATGTCCTCACAATAACATAAACATGGTCACTTGATGTCACTTGTGAATTGAATTTTGCAGCACTGACAAACCCAGCCCCTTTGCCATGCCATCAGGATGGCTTCAGGTGCGTGAAAGTTCATGGGGCGGAAGGGGTGCTTGGCAAAGAATCAAGGAACAGATCCAACATCTTTGTTTAACTGCCAATGGGCGGGGAGTTTACGAAGTTTACCAAGGAGTGAGGATATCACTATGCAAACAACATGTGGGTCAGTGAGTCATCGTGTGTTTTTATTTCTGTTGATGTTTGGCCATGTTCAACCCTATCAACGATTGCCCAGTATTGTCAAGATGGGTTGAAGCCACTCATTAACCAAAAATGGGAGGGGCTGCAACATGTTGAAGACAGCAGAATGGGAAATGTGGTTTATTCCAGGGATCCATGGGCAATTAACTTATTGCAGGATATTGCAGGCATGTCAAGGATGATTCTTGTATTGCAGAATTGATCTTAATACACATAAGACTGCTTGGTGGTTTACATTTTTTATTTTTCCAACCGACTAATATTTTCAGAGGGGTAGGTATACCACCAACCAGAGGAGATTTGTACAGATGCACGGTTCACATCCATTGATAATCATTGATGTGTGATGCTACAGATGCGTTCTATCAAGTCTATCAAGGATTTTTTCAGGGTCCATTTATCTTGTGCCAAATCCCCAGACGGCCCAGACTCTCGTGCTGAGATATCCCATGCAAACATTGCCTTTGCCGCTGTTACAACCCCCAAAAAGATGCCGAAGAGGTTCAATTGGCATTTGCTTGATAACATAATATATATATATAGGAATTCTGGGTTTGTCCAAGTTCCAAATATCTCTAAACATTTAAGATGTTTACAGGATTTTTTTCCAAATTCCAAGTATTTTTTGATCTCTTTGATGGGTGGTTTACTGTGAACCAGACCTGTTTCATGGGCCAAGTTGGCTTCGCTACCAGGGCGTGGTTGGAAGCGGAAATGGCCTCCATTGCGGATGCTGGGTGTCAGTTAAATGTGTCAAACTGCTGGGATTTTAAGATATGTTGACCTTCAAAAGTTGGGATAAAGCCCTTATAAATCCTTTTAATTATTTATTTTTTGTTACAACATCTTCTAACTTATAATTATTTTTACCCTCTGGTAAACTAACAAGGCTATGGAAATCACAATGTGTAAATCATCTATAAACGGGTCATTTTCCATAGCTATGTTACTTTACTGCAGGGCATCCGCTTAGTTCACTAGAACCGCACCCCCCAAAGTAGGAGACAGGGGGGGTTATCGCCCAGGATGTCCATGGCATGGCCATCTTGAAGGGGATGATGATTCACCATGATATTTTGGTCTTTCGACCCCAATTACAATGACATCAATGACCCATTTAGTTCGATGATGTAGCTATTAAAAGTGATGATTTTCCATGGCTATGTTATTAAATAACTGTTTAACCAAAGGGTATATTATAAGAACATACTGGGATGCTACCCAAAGTTTGCAGATGCCCTTTGAACATACTGAGATGACATCTCTATTTATTGCAGATGGTCAGCATCGATGAGTTGAACCCCCCTAGATTGATTTATGGTTTGGTTTCCCCTGTCATTTCTAGGCAGACGTTGTTGATCTGTGGGGTGTGGTTTGATTGCGATTTGCTTTGGAAGCCTCATTGTTTGCACATGATCGCAGGTTCCTCAATCTGCACGTGCTGATTGATGGTTGCAAAGATCTATACATACTACATGCATGTGGCAAATCCAGTGGTATAAATCATCGCCAGTGAATCACTTGATGGATGGTAACCATCCCCAGTCATAGGTTTATGGATTGGGTCATGGTGATCCACTAAAAAATTCACCATTGAGAGGTCGGTCAAAAAACGACCAAAAGGTGGACCAAAAGGTGGCTTCACTTTTTCGAAAAAGTCGTGGCGTGGTAAATGCCCACGATGATTTCACGACTTTCGTCGGAGCCAGCGGACGCGAAGGATGGCACCTTCAAGGAATACAGCGATGCCATTTTCCGAGGTGGTGCCGAGCCTTGGCTCTAACTTGGGGCCGGATGTAAGCAGCAAATTGGATGGTTTGACTAACTGAAAATAGTGCAAAATCAACTAATAATGTGCATATACATATATATACATATATGTATATTATTGATGTGTATATATGTATTATATATATATATATGCACAAATATGTTGTACGGGAATATGACCAACATATTAGTGGTGATTTGGCAACAATTGAGAAGTAACAGTGTACAAAGATACAGCTTCTGGGCGGTCTCAATAGTTGGCTCAACCAGCATAATATGCTGGGTTTGACGACTCGCCTGGTTGGAAACGGAAGCTTTGTTTTGGAACGGCTGGATTTGTTGATGAACGGGGGTGAATGGGATTTCCATGGATTTATCAATGATTATCAGCTGGATTTGTTCAGAATATGGTTTCTTTAGGTTGGATCTTTATGGATTTTTAAAATTGTAATAAATATTAATTTCATATCAAATTGATTTAAATAGACTATTAAGATTAGTTTGTTGAGATTTGATAAAAACCAGTGGCAGATGTGCCCAACACACGGTAAGGAAAGCTTGTTGACGCCCTATGAGCGCCGCCGCATGATGATGGAAGTGGCAGAGGTGGCTTTCCTGGATAGTTTGTGACTGGACGTTCAGTATAAGTCAGTATAGACACCAATGGAAACTACATGTTGTGTATGTATACATACCTGGATCTTCACTTAGCACTTTTTTCTGCTCATAGCAGTTTTCGCTTGGATTTACGCTCTTTCTGACTTTTTATGCTCACTTGACCTAGAAAACGCGCATTTGTTTCTTGACGGACGGGTATTTACGCTTTTTTCCCGTGTATTTACGCTTATTTCCCGGGAAAATACGCTCATAATTTTGGCTTCAAAATGAACAAAGCGCAAAAATGCCAAAAGTGGTGCAATTACGCTCATGTGGCGAAAAAGGGCTCAGAAAGCAGAAATCTTTCAAATGAGCATTTATTTGTGCTTTTTCGAGGATACAGGTATATATATATATACCTGGATCTTCACTTAGCACTTTTTTCTGCTCATAGCAGTTTTCGCTTGGATTTACGCTCTTTCTGACTTTTTATGCTCACTTGACCTAGAAAACGCGCATTTGTTTCTTGACGGACGGGTATTTACGCTTTTTTCCCGTGTATTTACGCTTATTTCCCGGGAAAATACGCTCATAATTTTGGCTTCAAAATGAACAAAGCGCAAAAATGCCAAAAGTGGTGCAATTACGCTCATGTGGCGAAAAAGGGCTCAGAAAGCAGAAATCTCTCAAATGAGCATTTATTTGTGCTTTTTCGAGGATACAGGTATATATATACATTAATAAGTACATTTATGTATATATATATATATACCCACATATATGTATATGCACAAGCATACAGCGTACATGTATAATCATGTGTATATGTATATATACCAAGAGTATGAGTCTTTTTGCGGGTTTGCTTGCACGTATTTTGCCTATAACTTCCTCAACTTGCCCAGAAAGTTTATGGTTTTGATCCGCACAGCCTATCACCTATCAGTTGGAAGCGACTGAAGAAATCATGTGGGGTGGAAGGCCACTCACCACTTTTTAGTTTGGTAAAAGCGGTTTGTAAGCAAGCAGTGAAGACCATCTCCTTAGTAAGCTTCAGATCCATATTCTCACTTCAAGAAAATGGCTCTAGATGCGCCCTAACCAAACTTTCAAAACATATATATATATTATATTTATTTTATTATTATTTATATTATTATATATATATACGTTAAGAAAGCACGCCATTCACGCCATACGCTGATATATGTCTTTATATAACCCCAGGAAGGATTGGAAGAAAAAGGCAGGATACCTCGTTGGATTTGTGTGGGTAAACAAGACCGGTGACACAATCGTTTCCCGATGCTTCCAACAAATTGCTTAAACCAATCCATTGATTCATATTTATCATACCCATATGCTCCATGTGTGGAATATTTACCGACATTTACCCAACACATGGCCCATTCATGTAGGTAAATATACTATACATGGAGAATATTTATCAAAAGTAGTATATATACTAGGAATATACTATGATAGAAGTATGATAAATAATATAGGAATATCCAAATAATACAGTATATTTATCCTATTTATACAAGTATGTTATGTGTTCAAAACAAGTCTTGTAGGATTATCCCGTGTGAACCGCCAGCTAGGCGCATGGCCTTTACACCTTGGCGCCCAAAGGCACGGGCCGTGCGCCCGGGCGTCCCTTGCTGGAGACGTGGGGGAAAAGGCATTGGGCGCCGTGGGAATTCACCATGGAAATATGGGGGAATGAAACATATTGGGGATATATCAACCAGAGGGATATCATATATCTAATATAACAAGTATAAATATGGTGATATATCTATATATATATATAGATAATCTGATCTGATAACTATAATAGGGATTTCATTGGATATACCCTTTGGTCCAACATGGCAATTGAATAATGTTCGATAAATGGAGTTGTTCATGGGAAAAAAATATGGGGAAATCATCGATTGTAGTTTTTTTTGCAACGTTATAACCTCCAAAAAGGTGGGAAATCCATGATTTTCTGATGTTAAAATCAGATGGGTGGTTTCCCATGTCTATGTTGATTTACTGGAAGGCAGTCACAAAGATACAACAAGTCGTTTACAACATGATATATTTAACTGTGTGTACATCTGTATATATATATATATGTATATACACACACTCGCCACTCCTGCATTTTTTTGTTGCTACTGCTACGATCTCAGAATTGTTTCATGGAATGATTCATTCGATTTTTAAACGACATCTCGCGGTAGTGTAGGTCCACGGTGTATAGATATATATATATATATATACAGACATAAATATCCATGAAAATTACCATTAAACCACACCATTGATACCCTTTGGCAATCTAACATACCTATGGAAATAGCTCATTGATGAGTTCCCCCCCCAAGAAAAACCATCGCGATTTTCCATAGCAAACTTGTTCACTTTTACTGGAGAGTATTGCTACTTATATATACATTCCACATCCCAGATATAAACTGGTTGATGGTTTGGAACATTTTTTCTTTTTCAATTTTTCCATACATTGGGAATGTCATCATCCCAACTGACTAATATTTTTTCAGAGAGCCCTGGCTCAGGGGCTTTCCAGGTAGTGGGGCGGTTCAAACGGATCCCCTGAAGGTGTGTCTTTTGGGTGCCATGGATGTTGGTTCGTTAGTGGTGGGTCAAAGAACCTGTTGCGTCATGTCCATCATCTGTGTTGATTCTGAAGGAATGCGACACTTGGCACAATCCAATGATCGAAGAGGTACAAAGATTTGGGTTAAGGGCCACATTCCAATTGGGGCTACTGTGACTGGGGTAGATCTACTGGTGACATCCGTAAATCCCGTTGAGGTGGAGGTGGATTCCAAGTCATTCCTGGTCCCTGTCCCGACCTGTGATCGCAACGATCTGCTCAGGGTTTTGGACTTGTGCTCGGGCCTTGGGGGTTTCTCCTATGCAGCAGTCAAAGCTGGCTTCTCCGTGCGGGCAGGGGTTGACCAAAATGGACTTTGGCGTAAGCTGTTTGAATCCATTCATGAGGGGGTCCACTTTATCGCTGGGGATCTTGTTGATTCAGTTGTCCTTCATGAGTTGCTGCGTTTGGGCTTGTTTCATGGCACAGTGTGCTCTGGCATTGCCTGTCAGCCTCGCTCGATTTTGGGGGACCGTCGTGGCATGGATGACCCAAGAGCTCAATCCCTCCCCAAAACACTGCAGGTGGCATGGTTGTTACAGTCGGCTGTTCTCATCCTCGAATGCACCCCTGAAATTTTGAGGGACACCCAAGCTCAAGAGATCCTCAGGCAGTTCACTGTGGCCACTGGGTTTCGCATGTCACAGGCCATCATGAAGCTTGGGAACACGTGGTGCGGGAAGAGGGATCGATGGATTGCTGTGCTGACTGCCCCGGTCATTCCAGTTTGCAACTTGTTGGACTTGCCACATGCCACTGAAGTTCAGGTTGTCCGTGATTTGATTCCGGAATTCACTCCATGGCATCAGTTTGAACAGGCTCAGCTGACCCTTAACCTGTATGAGTTGTCCAAGTACTATCAATTTGCAGCTGGTGGCATTGATTCGACATGGGTCAAAATGCTTGAGAAGTTGCCAACACTTCTCCATAGCGCAGGGAACCAGTTGTACACATGTGCATGTGGATGCCGAGCAGCTTTGTCAGAATCCAGGTTGCGTCAAAGAGGTCTCATTGGAGTTTTGATTCCGCTGGGCACATCGCAGATTCACATGCACATTGACATGCAGCATGCCAGGTACTTGCACCCTCTTGAGATGTGGGTAATGATGGGTGGCCACCCAGAAGTCAACATGGGCCACAACTTGAGATTGGCAATGGCTGGAGTTGGACAAGCGGTTGCTCCTATCATGGGGGTTTGGATTTTTGCTCAGGTTCGTCGGTGCCTTGAAGTGGCTTTGGACTTGCCACCATGTGACCCCCATGCCATTTTGCAGACCTACATGCATGAGGTTGTCCAAGCGTGCCGTCTCAAATGGCCTGTACCTGTACCTCCAACTGCATGTGAGACCACACCAGAGGACCCCATTGAGTCATTCTCTGCTCAGGATGATGCCTCTGTCATCACGTTGTCACGTCCCACCCTTGGTGAGCCTGATGTCCAAGTCAAGTTGTCGCCCAATGTCACAGGTGATCAACTTTTGAAGGCTGAGCAACAGCTAGGCACCACTGGAACTGGCTTTCAATTGCGAATTGATGGGGAGAGTGTTGACTCATCGCTTCCCTTGCCCAACATGTCCCTTGTGACCATGGTGCCCATGGATTGGAATCCGAATGACTTGCTGGCTGACAAGGTTGTCCCATGCTGCATGAACATTGATGATTTCCTGAAGTACATCCGTCAGTCTGATGTCAATGAGGCTACCCCTGTCACTGACATTTCGCGGTTGTTTGTTGTCAGGCATCCCAGCATGGCCCAGATGGAAAGGCTTGGACTTTTGGATTTACAAGGCCCAGTCTGGGGTGATGATGAACTGCTCTTTGGACTTGAGCGCATTGCTTCCGATGCTGGGGATGACCAACATGCCAGTGTTTGGGATCCGTTGTTGATTTCGGGTTTGGTTCAGCAGGATGTCCCAGCCACATGGCCTAAGCTGGTTAACCCGTTGGGTCCGGTGTGCACCGTGGTGTCTGCTGTCCTGCTTGGGGGTCACTGGATTCCGTTGGTTTGGAGGGTTGATGCTGTCGGTGCTGTTCTCCATACGATTTCGGTCACTGCAGAGTATGAACATGTCTTGGAGAAGCTCAGTCGAGTCTTTGAGATTTGCCGTGGAGGGGCGCATGGTGTGTGGAAACCTCACTGCCTTGGCTTTGTCCCCGATGGATTTTGTGGGGCGTTGGCACTTGCTTTTGTCAAACACCTGGTTTGGGGTTGGCCCATGGTTGCAGACCAGCATGATTTGCAACTTACATCCCAATCCATGCGTCTGGAGTTTGCCAACTTTCTGCCTGATCCCTGTGTTCGACCCATCTTAGCAGGTCTTGGAGTTACAATCACTTCTCGGCTGGCTGACTTGCTTGTTTCCCATGGAGTTGCTCCGTCTGAGTCGGGTTCGCGTGCTGCAGCTGCGGTGAAAGCTCTGGGAGAGCCTGGAATCACGAAGGCCTTGGACTCTGACAATGCTTGGCGTGAGTTGAAGTGGCTTGGCAACCAACTGAGGCCTCCCTTCATGTTCATCAAGCCCTCAGAGCTTCAAGCCCAGATTGACAAAAGGCATGATCAGCCCATTGGCAACAAGCGACACAAACGGCAGAAAGCCTCCAAGGGAAAAGGAAAGGGACTCCCCTCCCCTGTCAGTGTGGATCCAACTTCCTTGCGACTTGAACATGGAATCTTTCAGAGTGAGCAAGGACAACCCCTCTCCCAACTTGGCTTGTCACAAGTCGGACCCACCGTTGCTGGCGTGGTTGTTGTGTCGGTGCATGCTGTTGAACCGTATTTGAAGGCTGCCAACCCCATCTCTTCAGGCCCACTGGCCTTCTTTGTTGTGGACTCAGCTTCTCCACCGGTGACCCATTTCCCTGTTGTTCCAGCACGGGTTCCTTTGGTGTGTGCCTTGAACTCGGAGCCGCTGTTGCTTGATGGGCATCTTATTCGTCTTATTCAGCTTGGTGCTTCTGCTGTCCAGCGTGCTCCACTTCAGCAGGGATCAGAGGTCATGGCAATTCCCACTTGCGTGGTCAAGGCGATGATCTTTCGGGATCAGACTAAGGTGGCTTGGTCAGAGGTGGTATCTCATCCGCTGCTGCATCTCTTTGAGCAGGTTCCTCCGTTGCAGTCCTGTTCTGACTCTGAGTGCTGTGGTTGTGAGTGTTGGCATCGTTCTTTGGATTACCCGATGGACTCTCCAGTTCTTGAGCTGTGGGGCAAACAGTGGCTTCATTTGGACTCTCGCCACACATCTCCGGATGATGCTGATTTGTTCACGGCTCACTTGCGGTTGCCAGAGCACCTTCAGATGCAGGTCCAGTTTTTCTCAGGTCATGATGGGGTCTATCTTGAACCGAAGTCTTTGGATGGCCGCCAGCCCTCGCCTGACTTTCAGGTTGTTTGGTTGCCCAAAGCTGATCAAGCACAGCTGATGCTGCAACGCCAGACAGTGCCACATGTGGTCGGGCTTGCCCGTTTGGGCCAAAAGATGGGCCTCAGATGCCGAACAGAACATGCCGCAGAGGTTTTCTCCACACTTCGTCCTGGGCAGACATTTCTGCCACCAGGTAAGAGGCAGAACTACTTGGTCGGGCCCTTTAGCCATGGCACACTGCAGTCCTCAGTCGCTCAGGTGTTGCATGCCAATGGATGGACAGCAAAACCCATTCAGGTGGTGCCAGCCAAGTCACACATCCAGGGATTGATGTTTCGAGTGCAGAGCGTCCAAGAGCCGCCCAGCAAGGTCATTCGCATGGCGCATGGCGATGTCATGATCGCCAAAGAGGAGGACAGGGCCCCTTTTGACCGGGTTGAACCAAAGGTTTTGGCCACATCTGCCACTGAGTCCATGGTGGCCAAGCCTGTCGAAGCAGACATCATTCAGTTGAATGATCCGTGGGCCAAAGCAGCCAGCAAGCTCCCGCCTAAGGCTGCTACTTTCCAGATTGGCAACCCGCTTGAAGATGTGACACAGAAGGTTCTTGCTGAGGTGATGTCCCAACTGCCCAAACAGACGATGGAGGTGGACGCTGATGCAAGCACTGACAAACGTGTTGCTGTTCTTGAACAACACCTTCAGGACCTCCAGAACCAGACAGCCACCCTGGCGGTCACCACTCAGCAGCAGCATCAGGAGACAGCCACTCAGATGCAGGACCTTCGCTGTCAACTGCAACAACAAGGTTCACACTTTGAACATGCCATTGCTGCACAGGCCACATCGATGCAAGGGTTTCAGGACACAGTGCAAGAGCAATTTCGCCAGCAGGTGTGTCACCAACAAACAATGTTGGACAACATGTTCAACAAGCAGATGGCTCAGTTTGGGACCTTGTTGGCCAAGCGCTCCCGACAGGAGTGATGGTGCCCTGCCTTTCATTTGACTGCCATGAGGGCTAGGGTAGATACTATTGGTGGTCACTGCCTTGCTTGGCTTGAGGTGCTGTTTGCGGTGTGGTGCGTTGGACTTTTGGGCCTCGCTGGATTCTGGCCCCTGGCCTTTTGGACTGCCGGCCTCTCTCTTGGTTGCGTGATGCTGGCTCTTTTGATTTTGTGTTGGTTTGGAGCACCATGTGGTATGTGGGATCCAGATGGTGTTGTCAAGTCGCCTCATGACTCATCACCCTCCAAATCGCTCATGTTTCACTTTCAGTTTTGTCGTCCTACCATCTTTGGCATAAGGGGATTTGCTCAGATGCGATCACCAGGCTGGAGATGTGGTTGGACTTGGATTTGCACCACATCTCGACGGGGAGCAGGGTGTTCCCCGTGTCGTTCCATGCCATCTTGTGGCAAGTGGTGTTGGCCTTTTGTTTTGCTGTTTGCGGCCTGCTTTCGGTTTGGTGAAGCACTTCATCCTGGCCCTGCTGGACTTGGCGCTGACACGTGGTCCCTTGGAATTGCTAATCCATCTGGCTTAAATGGCAAACTTGATCAACTCAATGCCTTTCCTGGTGATGCGTGGCTCCTGTCTGAGACTCAGCTCTCTTCCAAGGGAGTTGCCACACTCCACAAAGGTTTGAAGATGTTGAAGAGCAATTGGAAGTATGCTATACCAGGGTCACCTTGCCGTGCCAGAAAGGGTACCGACACTGGGGCACATACGGGGGTCATGGTTTTGTCAAAGATGCCAGCTCGAGCACTGCCTCATGACTTCTCGGACGAGGTCTATTCATCCTCCAGGGTTCAGGTGGTTGGTCTGGCGGTGGCTGATGTTTGGGTTACCTTGGGCGTGCTCTATGGATTTCCCTGCAATGTGCAGCATAAACAAGCTCGCTATCAAACAGATGCCTTGCTTTCCGACTTGGTCGATCGAGTTGCCTTTCAAACGGTGGGACCCCGGGCCATTGGGGGTGACTTTAACTTTGGACCTGAGGAGCTGGACCAGCTTGACCGCCTCCGGTCTTTAGGCTTCCGTGAAGTTCAGGACTTGCGGGCTTGGCAGCATGGAATTTCTGCTGAGGCCACTGGGAGAGGGTCCAAGAGGATTGATCAACTTTGGATTTCACCGGAGCTTCAAAGGGTTTACCAGTCCACCTCGGTTGAGTTTGATCACTGGGCAGATCATGCAGCGGTCCGTGCGAACTTCTCACATGATGGACTTTCAGTCAAGGTGTCTTCTTGGTTTGTCCCTACCCCGTTCCCTTGGCCTTCTAACTGGTCCTGTCAGCTTGATGTGGATTTCCAAGGTGACCTTACGCATGAGTACGCCAAGTATTGGTCTCAACTTGAATCTCAGGCCCGTTGTTGGAATCAGCACCAGGGGCTTCCTGTCACCAAGCGACAGTGTGGCCGAGCTCAGGTCCTGGATACCACTCCAACTCGCCAGTTCTTGTGCCCTGTCAAGAAAGCTAGACCAGGAGATGTCCAACCCACTTACATGGGGATTAGCCTCCAGCATGCCCGGTACTTTCGTCAACTCAGACGGTTGCAATCGCTGGGTCGGCTTCTGCAAAAGGGAGTTACCTCTTGGAATGCTCAGGTCAATCGGGATGAGACTTGGCGGGCAATCCGAACTGCTGTGGGGTTCCCTGGGGGTTTTGCGGCATGGTGGACCACCAATGGACTCGTCCCTGTCATCTGTGTTCCCTTGCCTCTCTGCTGTCCGGCTTTGGATGTTGTCATGGCCCTCTTTAATGGATTTCGTGACTACATGAAGAAGTATGAAGCTAGCTTGGTCAGCCAGCGCTACCAGTTTGCCAAGAATCGCAGGGCCAAGCACCTTGCATACGCTTTCCAGGATTGCAAGGATGAACCATTGCCTCAGGCTGACACCTTGCTTGACAGGATCTCCGTTGGCGTTGAGGAAGTCCGTCAGGAGGACAACTCCCTGGTCTTGGTCCGTCCTGTCTCCCTGCTTGAGGGCCTTCCTGTCGTCGTCGAGGGGCATGCAGTTCAGGTGGTTGCTCACTCAGAGGACCAGGTTTGGTTGGACACGTTGCCACCGGTCAACCCTGGCAGTGTTTTGTCTCAGGAGCGGGCAGTTGTCTCAGATGCGGATATCTTGGATCGCTTTGCTGCTGAATGGACCAAAAGATGGATCAAACACATGGTTGGCAACCCGGCCAATGGGACCAGATTTGTGGATTTCTGGAGCGCACTGTTAAACCTATCACTTGGACTTGTGAACCTTGGACTTTGGATCGTCTCTCTGACGCCATTAGACATAAAAAGCCTCGAGCAGCAAAGGGTCCCGATGGGGTCTCTCAACCCGATCTCCAAGCCCTTCCCACAGAGGGGCGTCAGCTTATGTTGGTGTTTTTCGAGGCAGTTGAAAATGGTGCCAAGTGGCCTGCTCAGCTTGCTCCCGGTTTTGTCTCCAGCTTGGCCAAACACCCTGGGGCACAGAGTGTGAGTGAATTCTGGCCAGTGGTTGTCTACAGTCTTCCCTACCGTGTTTGGTCCACCGTTCGTGCCAGGGAAGCCCTTCAAACGGTGGTGCACTTGTTGCCAGACAGTGTGAAAGGGGGTGTCCCCTCCCGCCAAGCTAAGTCCATTTGGTTTGAACTTGCGTACACCTTGGAGCGTGCCTATCTTGATGGATTTGGCGTTCATGGCCTCCTCATGGACATACAGAAGTGTTTCAACAACATCCCTCGCCTGCCCCTTTGGCATGCCTTGTCGTTGCTTGGCTTCCCTCTGTCAACGCTCCGAGCTTGGGTTGCCTTTGTCTCTGCTCAGACCCGTCGCTTCAAGGTGAGGCAGTCAGTTGGTTCCCCCATTGCTTCGAATTGTGGCCTACCTGAAGGTTCTGCTCTATCCGTCTTTGGCATGGTCATTGTTGATTGGATGCTGGACTGGTGGTTGCGTGCTCAAGAGGTTCGGGTTGACCTGCGGACGTTTGTCGATGATTGGGGTGTGCTGTTCCGTGAAGCTTCGGCTTTTGAACGTGTCTGGACGGCCTTGGAGCAATTCACAAACCAACTTGATCTGGCGATCGACATGGCCAAGACACGCTTGTGGTCGACTGAGGCTGAGGCAAGGCGGGAGTTCCGTCAGGGCCACCTGGTTGTCACCTTGGCTGCAAGAAACTTGGGAGCCCACCAGAATTTCAGCCGGCATTGCCACAATGCGGAGTTGCAGAAACGCCTGGCTCACATGCCACGTGTCTGGGTAAGGCTGAAGGCCAGTCCGGCCACTTACCGACAGAAACTGGCAGCCATCCACATGATGGCCTGGCCCCGGGCTCTTCATGGGATCTCCGTTGTCCATTTGGGGGAGTCTCATTGGAAGGTCCTTAGATCTGGTGCTGTCCGGGCCCTCAAGGCAGACAGAAAAGGGGCCAATCCTTACCTGCATCTTGCTTCTTCGCAGGTTCAATCAGACCCCGAAGCATGGTCCATCCTCCAAACTTTGCGAGATGTCCGTGAATTGGGTGACCATGAGGTTGTTGAGCCTACGTTGGGTTTATTCTCTTCCAATTTGGACTTTCTCCCAGCCAATGGGCCTTCTGCTATCCTTTTGTCTCGCTTGCGTCGGTTGGGCTGGGAAGTGGGCAGCCAGGGCCTTGTCCAGGACAGTTTGGGTACTTTCAGCATTTTGCGTGTTGCCTGGGATGAGCTGGTGGTGCGGGTTAGACTTGCTTGGGGGCACGTTTTGGCAACTGCTGTGGCACATCGCCCTACCTTTGATGGACTCCAACATGTGGACTTGTCTGAGTTGGCCTCTGCCCTGTCGTGTTTTGGTCCCTCTGACTTGGTGTATCTGCGTTGTCACTTAGATGGCACCCTCTTCACTGAGAATGGCCGAGCACACTTTCGCAGCGAGGTGTCTGGTAAGTGCCCTTGGTGTCCGGCCAAGGATGGGTTTCACCATAGGGCATGGCAGTGTCCCCACTTTGCACCATGCCGGTCCCACTTGACTCCAAGCCAGCTTGATGCCCTGTCCTCTTTGCCTGCGTGTCTGGTTGATCATGGGTGGCCCGTTGTCCTACCTGAATGGGAGGTGGTCGTCCGGTGGTACCTCAGGGATGATGGACTTTGTAGGATGTCACCCGTAGAACCCTCAGTTCGCAGTCAGCCCCAATTGTTGGAACTGTTTGTTGATGGCACCAGTGCCTACCCAGGAGATGTGAAGTTACGTTTTGCTGCTTGGGCTGTCACTGCCGTACCAGGTGGAATCGGCTCCAAGGACAACCGGTTACTGATGGGTGGCCATGTTGTGGGACTCAGCCAAACACCATTTCGGGCTGAATTGACGGCGGTTCTTCATGCATCCATTTGGGCGGTCAAGCACAACAGGCCCATCCGGATTTGGTGCGATTGTCAAGGAGTTGTACGAGGCTTGGGTCGCATCTTGAGTGGGCGCTCACCAAAACGCAATGCACCCCATTCAGATTTGTGGGCCCTTCTCCACACAGCGTTGGAGGGACGTTCGCACTTGGTGAAGATCAGGAAGGTTGTTTCGCATGGGACCCTTTCTCATTCCACCAGTCCATTGGAGGATTGGGTCTACTGGCACAATGGATTGACAGATGCGGCCGCCGAGGCAGTCAATTTTCGCAGATCAGATGATTTCTGGCAGGCATGGTTGGGGTTGCGCAGTGCACTAGAGTTTCACCGGAAGTTGCACCGTGCGATCCTTTTGGTCCTGCTCAAGACATCTCGATTGGCTTCAGCAAGTCAAAGATCGCAGATTGTGGACAGAGCGCCGGCACCCGCGGCGATCGTTGAGCCTGTGTTACCGCTACAATGGTCAATTTCAAACAAGCTGGTTTGCAGGTATGGTGAGGTGAATTTACAGCAGATCCATGCGTGGTGGCAGGCCAGGGGGCTTGCAATGCTGCAGGGACCACACCCGCTGTGCTACATTTCAGGAATACAGTTGTTCTTGTCTTTTAATTTGGAAACTGGCTTTCTTGGCCCATGGTGCTGGAAGAAGAAATGGTACTCTCGTGCAGAGGATGTTCCATTGCCTGGGCGACGCAATTGGGGTGACAGATGCAAAACCTTCTTGCTACTGCTCAAAGCGTACTGGAAAAGCAACGGGCTGACCGTGCCATGCCAGTTGACGCGGCCCCATTCAGCGTCGATTGCCCGGTGGCTGGTTAGCTACAAACTTCGTTGGTCAGCCACGATGATCGACTTTGTAGACCGGCAGGTTTTCACCCAGTTGGGCCATCAGGCCACATCGAATCAGCATGTGGCGGCCCTCAATGCCGCAAGGATCGGCTAGCTTCAGCAAACAGGGTGGGTGGTGGGGTCGCGCTGCTGCCTCACTGCCCCCACAATAAAGGGCAATAAAGGGTAATATTTTTCAGAGGGCTAGGCTGCACCACCACCCAGTATTTCCCAGTCACCATCCATATTTTAATTGTATTTTCCACTATAAACCATCCATATCATCTATTTATAGATGGGGGTAGGTTGAAACCACCAACCAGATTATTATTAACCATCATTAACCATATAATAACCATTAATATTAACCATTATTAACAGTATATTAACCACAATGGTAGGGGATAGATCAACCAACCAGTAAATGATGATCATTTGATCCACATATTTCCACATCATCCTCCAAGGCCACCGTTTCAGCCTGGAACGCACTCCGGGCATCTCCGAGAACGACGTGAATCCGCCGCCGGGATGTCGCTTGGATTCGGAGTATTTTAATATGCCAATGATCAACTGTGATTTCACCTGCGAAAAACGGTGATTTGTTCGTGAAAAACCGCCAATATAGGTTTGAAAGCAAATTCGTGATCCGGAATTCCGGGGCACGAGTCGCAACTCAATTGAGAACTTCAAGTCGTTGTCATCATTATCACCATCATCACCATCATCACCATCATCATCATCATCATGATGTTCATCATGATGTTCATCATGATGTTCATCATCATCATCATCATCATCATCTTCATCTTCATTTTCATCTTCATCTTCACCTTCATCATCTTCATCATCTTCATCATCATCATCATCATCATCATCATATTCATCTTCATATTCATATTCATCTTCATCTTCATTTTCATCTTCATCTTCATCTCATTTATCTTCATCATCATCGTCATCATCATCATCATCATATTCATCTTCATCCTCATCTTCATCTTCATCTTCATCATCATCATCGTCGTCGTCGTCATCATTCATGACCAATGTGCGTCACCGCGTTGTTTTACCAAATTTGAGCAGCAATTGCAGAGACAAAATGAAACAACACCCAGTTACAAGGGCTGTTGGCGATAAGAATGTGTTTCTTGGTTTCCGCTTTGTGAATGAGGAATCAGTTTCCACAATGATGTTTGGTTTTCAAGTGGATGACAGCCATGTTTGCTAACTTGTTGCTAGTTGGGCTGAATATAAGGCGTTAAGATCTACAACCTCAAGAAGTTCAGCCAGGACAGGTCGAATGGGTGGCCGTGTTCTCAGTTGGCATCTTAATGTCTTTGAGGGCAATTGAATGTCAAAGTATATATCAATGTGCTTGGTGGTTTGAATCATTTTTACCACCATAGTTGGGATGATTATTCGAATTGACTCATGCGTTTGTTTGTTTTTTTTTGGGGGGTGTATGGGTTGCAATCACCAACCAGTGCTTGGGATGACCCAGCCGATCGATTTTTTTTCCGTAAGTTTTTGGGAGGCCTTAGAAATTTTCGGAAATATGTGACGTCTTCAAGACGAATATCACCTGAGTCCATTTGTGATGCCTGGATTTGGCATGTCCATGCTCGGCCTAGCTGCCTAGCGCCAGGAGGGGGACACAGATCCTCCATTTTTTGTATCAAATCCTCCTGTGTTCTTTTCGACCCAATGGCTTTACCCAAGCTGATATCATCGTATAATCAGGTGTATGTATAATTCATATTATTATATTAATTAGATTTGTTTTTTTTGATTCTGGCGATCACCCCCAGAATCACACACAAGTCGGACTTGAACATCCCAATGATCCTGGTTTCAGAAGCTATGATGCGGTTGGGAACCTCATCATTTTCGCAGCTGTTTCCAGTGTTCACGGTAAGTATTTTTTGGTGTTTCGTAAAAGGGGGGTTCCCCAAGTCACTATGGGTTTCAATACTAAGCCATGGTCTAATTTTGCATAATTTGAGGTATACAGTATACCCCTATTGTGGAAACAAACCTATAGCTTCAACCTCAAGTGTTCCGACATGACACAACCAGCAACGAGTTTATGACACATATAATGTCAACCCTGGGTTAATAAACCCCAAACGGCTGTTTAATTGGGAGGGTACCATTTAAGCATTAGATGAAATGACTAGTGGAGGAGTACCCCCCTAATTAATATTAATAAGCCATGTTTTAGTTTCATCCGGGGTTGACATTATGACCTACATGACCCAGTTCTAAGTCGGCGCCCTTTAAAAGGTCCGTGGCGCCAGGACATGACCAAGAAATTGGATGCGATCGAAGCAGGGGGCCGATTGGTGGTGAATGAGCCCCTCTCTGCAACTTGGATAGGTAAAATCAGGAGCTTGTCCGTTGCATGGATAGCAAAACACCAAGCATTTCTGGGGTCTTCGATGGATAGTTGATGATAGTTGATGATAGTTGATGATAGTTGGGTAGATGATTTTAGATGGATACTTGATGAAAGTTGGGCATAGTATATTTTGATATATTTTGCTGCTATAACTGGTGGTAATGGGCAACATATCCAGCTAAACCAACTGCTGGGTATCTAGGATTGGCCAATATTGTCCGCGAATTTACTAGCAGCTTACACTAAGGATCGCTAAGGTACATCCCCGTTGTTGACCCCTTTTCTTGAAGCAAGACATGATGGTCCAAGGAGTGCATTGGTATGCATGAATGTGGTGAACCTCCTAAGCAATACACTATGCCCAATGTGGTCATTAGGAGGTGATTCGACCGGTCCCCATCCAACGTTTTGCCATGTCGAGGCTTTACCAGTAAGGTCAGACGTCATGACTACAAGTTGTTTAAAAAAAAGTTCAGGTCAGGGTGTTCCTTTCACGGATGTAGTTCGAAACAATGGTTTCCCATAATACCTTTCCTCAAGTCAGTGCATGAAATTCTTCAAGGCAGATGGTTAAAAGAAAAACCACGCGTTTCCGTTCTCTCCAATTGACATTCTTTTCAGCACGGAGTCAAAAAACCTACAATGTGAGGCCCCCAAGATATCTCAGTTGGTTTATAACTCCAAAAACTATGGTTTATGGTACTTGTACTTATAACTATAGTTACTGGGGAGAATCTAAACCAACTAACATCACTGGGGGGCCTCACATTGCAGGGTTTCCTACGGATTTTTCGACCAGATCTCCGGACGTCCCAGATCATCGAAACCGCAGTGGTGAGCATCCTCTGCTTAGACCGGAACTTGGTGGTCCAAGCTGAACGTGGCTCGGCTTGTGCTTGGACATACGGGGGGGTTTACACGTTAGACAAAGAACACACACTGGGTATCACCGGGATAATTCATGGTTAATTCATGTTCAATTGTTGCTTACATCATGGTCAACCAATTGGGATATGAACTTAAACAAAAACATGTTGAAGATCATTTAACCAACTGAAATGGGAAAATCTAGTCTAGTGCCACAAAGGCTTGGTGGAAATGCTTCAGTTGCCCTGTTGCCCTATTCATCTGCCTTCAGCAATTTCAGTGAACAGGTCGCGAGATTTTTGCAGGATTTTGCAGAATTGATCATAGTTGATCAATGCATGATTATGGATTACCCTCTGGTTATTTAACATAGCCATGGAAAATGGATGAAAATGGCCCATTTATAGATGGTTTACCTATTATAAATGGTGATTTTCCATGGCTATGTTAAATAACCAGATGGTATAATTTTCGCATGTTCACAGCATCATTTTGACGTAATTATGGATTGAATCCTGTGTGTGTTTTCCCTCAATTCAATGTGTTTTTTCTGCCTTGTAGCTTGTGCAGATCCTTTTCTTGTCGTTGCACGGTTGTCCGTGTATCGTTTGGATGGGCACATCGTGGTGATGCCCCCTGAAGCTGGCGATGTTTGGGATGGCTTGAATCTAGCAGCATACCCTCCGGTCAAATCTGGCAATAGATCAATGGGAAATCCTCGATAAATGGGGATTTTCCATGCGGTTTGATGACACCGGAGGGTAATTGTTTGTACTGAAGAATTGTAGATCAAGTGGCTACTTGGTGAAGCGGATCTAGAGGCGCTGTCTTGATCATTGCCGGCAGGTCCTTCCCACACCCTCCAGCCCAACAGCCAGTTTAGGAGAAGAAATTGATCATTAGTTATCATATATACCATTGCCATTTTAAATCATTTAAAAATAGGGTTTTCCAGTATAACAAAAAGTTACGATATATCATCTTGGTTCACCGGTTCACAATTTTGGAGCGATCCATGACCAATCATGACCAAGGCTGGGGCAAGGGTGAGCGTTTGGTGATCCATGCTGCTTGACTCTGTAAACCTTGGAGAACCTGGGCCCCTGGGTGGGTTTAACCCTTACCATTCAGAAGCGTGGGGTCAACTGGGTCATGTCAGGTTTGGCAAGTGAACCTTTCCACTCTTCCCAGCATTCAGATGATTGGTGAAATTTGGCAAGGAAGATATCATGATGGAACCTGCTGTTTGGATCCCAAATAATGTGGCGCACCCTAAAGGCCCTAAACCATCCCCAATGACTTACTATAGATGGGTGGTATATGGTGGTATAAAGCATCCCCATAAGATTATAAGAGGTAAAACAAATGACACATGTTTTGGAGTGTTTAATTGCTGACTATATTCAGGTCCTTTTACTATATTATGTATCTCCTCCAGGACTCCTGCTCCATTCGAACAACTTCCCTGGGAAGTGTCAGTCTTCCCGATAGATAGCTACAAAATCAGGTGTTTTTCCATGATCTTCCATGCTCTTCCATGATCACGTTGGATAATGTTTCCCATATGCCCCATGTATGGAATATTTACCTACATTTACTCAACAAATGGCCCATTCATGTAGGTAAATCCGCCCACACCGCTTTGGCGGTGAAGGCGTGCTTATTGGGGGGCAAAACAGCAACACTAAATGCTCAATGACATTTGTTAATATAGCAGTCGCTATATCAGCTTTAGCTGGGGGGGGGGGCCAAAAACGATTTCGCACCGAGACCAGAATACGGTGGTGTTTTCGACATTTTTCGAGGATTTTTGGGTGTCTGAGCGCAAGAGGGTATTGAAATGGAATTTTGGGTCCTTTTGGTAGCTTTCCGGCAATGGAAAAACGGCCAAAAATGAAAAAAAACATTGTACATAGCAAGATTTTGCAGGGTTTTTGGATGCCAGAGCATTGAAAACACTGCAAAAACAAGTGTTTTGGACTGACGTTATAGCAAAAAACGTGTAAATTACCGTATGCTTGACTGGAAACATTACAAAAACACTGTCAAAAGCAATGTTTTGGAAGGATTTACTGCCTTTATGGCAAAAAACGTGTAAATTACCGTCTGTTTGACTGGAAACATTGGAAAAACACTGTCAAAAACAATGTTTTGGAAGGATTTCTTATATATATGTTGGAGTTGGCTACCGGCATTGGAACATGGAAAAATTGAAGAAAACACTGTAAATAGCGGTATTTTCAACGGTTGAGGAGATAAGGGAATTGGAAGCATTGTCGAACATGTTTTTTTCGACCGGTTTTATGGCGACAAAAGTGTAAAGTACCGTGCTTTGAAGGAAACCATTGCAAAAACATGGAAACCCATTCAAAGAACACGGGATTTGGGGGACTATCTAGGCGTCGTTGTCTAGCTATTTGAAATTCCGCAGCTTGGAGAGCCTCCAAGGGAGGGAAAAGTGAAAATTCCATAGCTTGGGAAGCTGTCACGGCGGGGAAAAGTGAAAATTCCCTAGCTTGGGAAGCCCCCACGGGGGGGAAAAGTGAAAATTCCCTAGCTTGGGGAGCCCCCACGGGGGGGAAAAGTGAAAATTCCCTAGCTTGGGGAGCCCCCACGGGGGGGAAAAGTGAAAATTCCCTAGCTTGGGGAGCCCCCACGGGGGGGAAAAGTGAAAATTCCCTAGCTTGGGGAGCCCCCACGGGGGGGAAAAGTGAAAATTCCCTAGCTTGGGGAGCCCCCACGGGGGGGGGAAAGTGAAAATTCCCTAGCTTGGGGAGCCCCCACGGGGGGGAAAAGTGAAAATTCCCTAGCTTGGGGAGCCCCCACGGGGGGGAAAAGTGAAAATTCCCTAGCTTGGGGAGCCCCCACGGGGGGGAAAAGTGAAAATTCCCTAGCTTGGGGAGCCCCCACGGGGGGGAAAAGTGAAAATTTAGCTTGGGGAGCCCCCACGGGAAAACCACCCTTAGCCCCTCTCACGGACCGAAATAAACCTGCGGTGTGGGCGGCCACCCCACGCGAAGCGGGGTGAATATACTATACATGGGAGCATATGGGTTTGGTTGACTGTCTGTAAGAATAACATAGAATTACACATACGACATACAATCATAATTGAGAATAAGTGCACATATCCTCTGGTAGTCAAACGTGGCTGGAAAAGACAACATGGAGGATTTGTCCATTGTCAGCTTTGATGACACCCGGCTCAGGACACGGGCTCTTTCGCCAAGGGCTTATCCGCGAAATTGGACTCCTTGGGTGAAGGCAGGACGATGGATTGCGAGCTGGAACATGGCCAGTTATACAGTATATAAATAAATGTAAATGAACCGGAAACGGGCCAGGTTCATTCATTCTTCAATTCGCAAACTGTGAGTTTCTTGCAGGCAGTGCCACAGCGACCCGCAGGTTCATCGGTCTCCATGTCCGCTAACCTCACCAACATCGAAATGAAACTCGCAGCGGCCTGAGGGTCATCAGGTTAGCGGGGGGTCAAAGCCGGGACCTTGGGACATAGCAGACACAGCACTTAGGGGACTGCAAATATCTTACAATGACCATGAATATCATGAATGTACTCGCATTGTAATGACTTTGTAATGTATTTATACTATACTTGATGAATACAAGATACATTGTAATTAATGTATTTATACTTGATGAATACAAGCAAACCATATTTTTCATAAAATGGTCGTTGGAAAAAGGGCTAATGCAGAGCTTCCCCGGTTCCCCAAAGTTGACACACTCTGAATGCAGTCCATCCAACGGTAAAGCCGCCAGCGGAAAAGAATCACGAAAAATCACCAACAATTATTTTAAATTGCAGGCAATTTCAGATTGTTTACATACATATATAGTTCCTTGCTGATTGGAATTCATCATGATGATCATATCATTGCCAACCACAATACACGTATATATTACTATATCTTACTGCTATATATATTAGCCATATAAAAAATAGATCCATATTACCAAGTATCGTTCCACGCTATTCCCATGAGGATTGCTCTATTTTTGAACATCCTCATGTCGTTGGCCACAAGTGTGGTCTCAGGTGCATGCGCAGGCAGCCAAGTTGGGTTTGAGGGTGCGCAACTACCGCGATGAGAATGGCGAGGACATGTTGAAGGCGAGAAATCAAACTGCAGCAACTGGTGGAAGGAGGAAGGAAGGACTTTATGACCACATACATGTTTTGATTATGTATATGGGTATCCGTTTGATCCTTATATATACGTATATATATATAATATATATATATATGTATGTGTGTGTGCCTTTTGTGTGCAGACATATGCATTATCTATCGATTTGATCGGTAGATCGACTTGGAATCGATCTTGAAGAGATGGTCGTTAAGGTAAGCTCACAGCTTCCAGATTTCATCGTTGCCCACCAGTCTTGTTTGGGTTCCATCCCTTGCAAATGGTTGCAATTACCCTCTGGTAAACTAACGTAACTAACTATGGAAAATCACCATTTTCAATGGGTAAATCCACTATAAATGGCCAGAGGGTAATTATCCATGTGTTGATCAAATTGGCCCCTGCCTCTGGCCCGTAGATAGGGGTACTTGTAGTTCGGAAGTCCCGCTTCTGCTACACTTTTTCAGGGCCCAGCTGTGAACTAGGATTGATATGGATTGATAGCATTTACAGCTATTTACCATCACTAGGATTGATATGGATTATAATTGTCCCACTGGTGATGGTAAATTACTGTAAGTTCCCACCAATCACCAGCTGTTGCGCTGTCTCCACCCTAGTTCTGTCGGATGTCGATTTCGGGAGGGACAACTTTAGCCGCCGGCTTAGCCGCCTGCCGCTAGGTGTACAACCTGCCAACGGCTCAGTGATGCTCAGTGGGTGAATTTTTGGTGCTGTCAGTTGTATCATTGAATTGACCAGCGTTTTCATGAACAACAGAAACAGCAACATTGGGAAACTAGGATGAAATAGGATGAAATAGGCATATAAGTGCAAGTCGTGGGATGGATTGAAACGACTCTATTCGGATTGCTGCTGATACGGTATCCTTCTCAGCCAATCCATTCAAAGTTTCAAGGTTTGCTGCTGCGAAGGTATTGATTTCGGCTGGTGGTTTGATATTTTTTGATGAACCAAGTGCTGATTGTTGTAGCAATGTTTTCTGCTCCAAGATCTAAGATGATCGAAATGTGTGGCGCATGCCCCATGCAGGGCTCCTATTGATGCTCCTATCAGTGATAATTTTGATTGCAAATGGCCTTCAACTTCACCAAATACGTGGGGCCAGGTGAACATTCCACCATGTTCAGATATGTTCAGCATGTTCAGCCACTTCAGACTCGGACGAAGCAAAACTTGCATGATCAACAGAAACTCGACTAATTGGAGATATTGGAGCTTATGATTCGAAATAGAGAAGAGTAAGATACGAAAGGCAGTGTTTCCGGTAACAACAATCGCCGCACTCCACACATCTTGGATGGGTACTTTATGGTACTTTAGTACTTGAATCTTTCACATTCTTTCGCCCCATATGGATATACCCAACCATGTCAAAAACGGCCCAATCCTCATGGCAGAAACCACCGCAACGTCAGGTCGGACTGGGCGTCAGAGGTTCGAGAGCGCCTGGCCAACGTGAAAGAGGACGGCTGGGATGAGGGCACGACAGTACCCTAGGGCAGTCCAACCTGGTCCGCAGGACAATCACAGATTTGAATAGAACAATTATCTACAAATGAGCGGACTTTCCACTACCGGTTTTGATTACCAGAGAGCAGTATATACAAGTGTAATTGTGGGGAAATCAGCGCAGAAGTTGCGGGACATTATACTGTATGCTCTAAGGATCTCTGAGGCCATGTTTTGATGTTTGATGTTTTCTGTCATTATATAATCTCTAGTGAATCAATGCACATTCTTGAACTCAAGAGATTTTGATCTCGGGTTTGGCTCTTTCGGATCGAAACATGTGTTTTTATTATTAATAATAATAATACATGATGATAACAATAATAATAATAATGATTTTTGTTTGATATATGATATATACGTATATATTTATATATTTATCATATAATTATAGGAGTTGGATTCATTTTGTTATATTTTGTTGATACTTCCCCGTGGCCCCCGATCATATTTTCCGTGGCCCTGAGGACTTCATATTTAAAAACCTGGATGAGGAGGACGGCAACGCCGCGGTGTGATCTGTGACAGTCCATGGCGGTCCCAGAGGTGTTTTATTTTTGTTCTGGTACCCTCATGGTTCGGTAATATCGTGGGATGTGGTTGATTTATGTTGATTTTTCCCTGGAATTATGGAATTCCCCTGGTTTTTTGAGGACCCCGCCATCCAACCATGTCCAAACCAGTAGTATGAAGTATCGTCCCTCATTTGCATCCCAAGAGATTATGTTTTTTTGCCGATCAATCTACGGGAAACCGTCGTTTTCATCATGAAAACATGTGAACCTCTAGATGTGTCAGCCAACTGGGCTTCGAAATGATTTTTCTTCTCCATTTTGGGCCGTGCCGTTTTTTTTTTGTACCTGGGATTCATAAATGCATTTATCCACTCGGGGAACTTGCTACTTGCTAACTAGGGTTAGTAGTAGTGATTAGTTATTAGTTACCCTCTGGTAAACGAACATAGCTATTGAAAATACCTCATTTATAATTGATTTACCTATTCAAAATGGTGATTTTCCATAGTTATGTTAGTTTACCAGAGGGTATTACTATTAGTTACTAAATATCATTAACCACCTACTAAGTGGAATGACCAAACAAAACTATGGGACGTGCCCATGGGAATCGTTACTGAAAAAATATGGCCCTGGTGTCATGGGTCAAAGTCGTGGCACCCTGGGATGTGCATCCCCCAATTTGACCCATCTCCATGTTATCCCCACCCAAATGCTCCATGTATGGAATATTTACCTACATTTACCCCAAAAATGGCACAAATGTAGGTAAATATACAATACATAGAGCATATGGGCCATGATTAGTGCACACAGTATCCCTGGTTCTTCATTTTTGATGTAGACATTGGTAGAGTCCCTAGATATGCTCAGGCAATCCAGAAAGAGGTTGATGCTGCTTCCTCCACTGAAAAAAACCCAGTTATTGCAACTTTTCCCGGCAAGAAGTTCTCACTATTGCCACTTTTCATTGCAACGGGTGCAGTAACTCCGGTGAATAAGTCCCCTAACGGCAGTTTTCCCAGCTAATCATTTTATGATAAGTTCATGATCACTATTATTGTCACCCCAGTGACTAAATGCTATCAAGCCATGTGATCAGACTACCAATTTACAGTACCTCAAACCCCAATAATTAATGTAAATGGCAGGGGGGTCTATGTTGGAGGGAGCGTAATTGGGATAGTAATACCAACTTACGCTGCAGCAAACTCAAAAAGATCTACATCCACCATTTTGAAGATGATTTCCAGGGGAAACCACGGATTATCCATATATCTATGCTGGTGCATCTCAGGTTGATATAAAAAATCTTATGTTGGGCATAGATCAGTTCAATATAGATCAACATGTGGGGATTAGATGGGATTTGATTAGTTTCCACATCAGGATGTCAGGCTTTCACATCAGGTTGATGGCAGGAGGTCCTCATTTGTCATGCTGAAAAAAAAACACGGTTTTTGATCATGTTAAGTCCTCAGCTTTTTTAATGGTGATATAAATCAATATATATATATATAAATAGTCAAATCCTCGTTTTTGGCGATTAAATCTTACTTGTTGATGGTGAAAGCCACAACGGAAGCCACCCACATCCGTTGTCCCGTAGGAACGGGCCGTGGTGCACGAAGTCGCTCGTCAAGTCGGCCTACACAGCAGCGAGAAAGAAGGCAGGGGCAGCAATGTCACTGGTGACTTCATGGTGACTAAGAATGGTCAGCAATGTTTGTAGTAACAATGGTTCATGTATGTTAGTAAGTTATCAGTAGTAAATAGCAACAATGGTGTTTGTCATACTAAGAATGGTGGCAATATAGTAATATGACTTCATGGTGACTAAGAATGCTAGCAAACCAATAGTAAACCATCCCCAATTTTACCATAAATGTGTAGTATAAAGCAATCAAAATCTGGGTGGGAAAGTCATTATTGGGATATGAATGACTAAAAATTATGTGAAATTGTGATTAATGATTAAGAGTTTAAGATTGGTTAACTTATGTTTATTATTGAGTTATTGTTTGGACAATGAATATTGTGACATTATTATTGGTGATGGTCACGGTCAAGGGAATTCATGATTAACTTATTGTTGGGATAATTCTGAATGGTTATGGTTTACTGTGATTAATGATGGTGATGGTCAATGAAATAATGTGCGATTCACCCTATGTCATAAACCGTCCCCAAGTTTGAGGTTTTTGGCATTGGGTATACCCTTAGCAAAGGAAAGACGCAAAATGACCGCCAAATGTCGATGAGATGGTTTAGTATTGGGTTTACAACATTATAGGGTAACTATCCGTAACTAACCCATTGGTGGCCAGATTGTTCAAGTTGGCGAACTCTATTAATCACTAGAATTCATCCACAAGAATGGCTAATAATATCCAATTGGCACAGAATGGATATGATATGCAATTGATCAAATTTTGATCAATTTTGCGGGTCCTGAGGTAGCCTTGAACGATACACCTGATTCATTGCAGCCGTAGGGCCGTAGGGTATAGATTGGACAATCAGGATGAACAAAACAGGAAAGTCATGTCTGGTTTTCATTTGCGGATGGAACCGAACTCTTGAATTCATGTGGTTTTCTTCCGGGTGCGGTCCTTTTGTTCGCGTGGTGGAATGTGGTGTAGATTGGATGGCTTAATAAAAAAAATCATCCTACGGCGCAAGGTTTACCTTGAACTCCCCTTTGATAGTCTTAGCTGGCAACTCAAACACAATGAGTTTTCAGTGGAAAACACACACGGATAGATACACATATATATATATATAACCTTTAAATTGTAAATGATTTTTAAGAGGGATTCTTCCCAGCCATTACGTCAGAGAGTCCAAATCGCTGCTAAGAAACAGGCGATGCTGGCAAACGAAATGTGATCGTTTCCAGCAGTCCGGGCTCTCAGACATGTCACAGTCCGGGTTTGGCGAACATCGGTGACCCCCACAGTCCGCATCAAATATTGACCAAAGATCATGCAACTTTGGTGAAATTTGTTTGAGAAAATCCTCAAGTCAGCAGAGGCTTACCTCATGTTTGCTCTAGGTTTTGATGTGTTCTTTCCATTTGATTGGGTGATAGCATCAATCCACAATGATATATCACCCTATGTTTGTTTTTATATATCTATATAGTGCAGTGATCACATCATCAATCAATATTAACTGCTTGGTGGTGGTTTGGAACATGGTTTTTATGACATTCCATTCAGAAAAGGGAAATGTTGGGAATGGAAAAATCATCCCAACTGACTTTACCCTCAGGTAATGACTAACATAGCTATTGAAAATGGTCATTTATAGTGGATTTACCCACTAAAAATGGTGATTTTCAACAGCTATGTTAGTTTACCAGAGGGTAACTCCATCATTTTTCAGAGGGGTTTTTGTCAAAACCACCCACCAGTTCCTCAGTGATTTCGCCGCCGGAGCATGCCGGAGCCACTGGCCATGCGGTCTCCGAGGTCCCGGAACCACCGAGGCCAAGGCCGCTTGCCCATGGGAAAAACCATGAAAAACTGGAGCTTTGGAGAAGAAAATCACGGCGATGTTCATCACGGATGGATGGCATGTTTCATGGCAAGTGGTTGTTGTTTTTTTGGATTGCATTCTTTGATGGATTTTGACGATGTTTTTCTGGCTTGTAAGTTCGAGCCAGGTCGGTGGCAATGGTGGAGGCCATGTGGAAACTGTGCCGAAGAGTACTGTTGGCGTTTGAAGCTTAAGTAAACCCGACAGTATATAATATAAACCATATACAAACCATACGCAAATTTTAAGTTCTATGTTTTTTCTCAGATGCACAGTGAGTGACATGTCCGGGATGAACAAAAACATACAAAAACTGTAATTGGATGATTACAATAAAACCATCTTCAATTGGTGTGTATTATTGGATATGATAGACCCTGTTTGAGAGGCTTTTTGGGAATTGCATCTCTCTTGGGCTAAGAGACTTGCTGGCGCTTTGTAATTTTGTAGTCAATACGTGTTCAGTTTGTTTCTGTTTTGATTTTTTGGGATTCAAATGAAAGCTTGAATGTTGCAACGCAGTTTTAGTTGCTTGGCTCAACTACCCTCTGGTAAACTGTCACATAGCTATGTAAAATCACCATTTTCAACGGGTAAATCCACTATAAATGGTCATTTTCCATAGCTATTTTGACATTACCAGAGGGTATTTCTTCAATATCTCTTCATTCCAAAAAGAAACCGTTGTTGCCGATTCTCGTTCATTGCCTGTGAATTCAAAAAATCGCCCTCCTGGTCCCTTTTTCTGTTCGTCAGGTGTCGGAATTGTAGGTGGATTGGAGCTTCCCAACGTGCCGTGGCGTAATGGCGTAATGAAGCACATTCCATCAGCAGTTGGTCATTTGGATTTGGTGGCTAAGAGGGCAGTCTTGTCAGAAGTTTCTAGAAATGGTCAATGATCTCACTTATTAAAGTCTGAAGTGGGTTCCAAGTCAGCATATTTGCATAAGTAACTTAAACATAAATTCAGGCCATGGTGTTAATTTTTGTGCGACATATTGGACCCACAAAATATCACAAAATTGGGTTCAAGCAAAGGCCAGAATTGATTCATTGAAACACCAATAAAAACCCTTCAGCAAATATGCTGGAAACTATTAGTCAATATGTAGTGCAGATAGATAGATAGATTAGATTAGATTAGATTAGCTTAGCTTAGATTAGATTAGATTAGATAGATAGCTAGCTAGCTAGAAAGCTAAATAGCTAAATAGCTAGATAGCTAGATAGCTAGATAGCTGGATAGCCAGATAGCTGGATAGCTAGATAGCTGGATAGCTGGATAGCTGGATAGCTAGATAGCTGGATAGCTAGATAGCTGGATAGCTGGATAGCTAGATAGCTGGATAGCTAGATAGCTGGATAGCTAGATAGCTGGATAGCTAGATATATGTTTCCCGCAGAAGATAACAGTGAGATTAACCCCTTGAGCAACTAGATGCAAGTAGTTGTTTCTTTGCAGCACAGTTACGACAGCCCAGGCAGGATCTTTCCGTCCGGATGCATCTGGGAGCCTTTCAAATCCGGGTGATGCGAGTTGCTCTGCCACAAAAAAGCCTTGGGTGAGGATGGCAACCACCACAAGAACCAGGGGGAAAGCGAATCATGTATTGTTGGGGTGTGACCGAAATGCGGCCATTGATGAATTGATAAGAGTTGAACAGATTTCGACCAAGTCCCATAGCCCATTGAAGTTGACCAAGGACATCCAAGGACTTTATGTGGCCCAAGAGGAATGAACAATATATAACAATATCAGTAGGCCGTAGGCAAAGTGAACATGAAGAGTCACATGTTTGCACTGCCTCTTTGCCAAATTTGCAAGCATCGTTTACTGAAGTTTGGGATGTCCCAGTTTGTCACGCAACGAGGGGGACGGAAGGTAGAGCAGGAAGCTTTTATATACAATCCCATTGAAGTCAAGTGAAGAAGTCTAAGGATGAAATCCGCATTAGAAAGCATATATATATAATCCCCAACCGACCATACACGAGATGTTTGGGATTGCTTTTACCAATCTTGTCAGACAGTTGATGTTGTTGGAACGTTGTCGCTGGCCAAGGATTAACAGAGCGCATCTTGTCATGATCATGATTATCAGCTGATTATTAAATACGTGACTTACTGTGATTGCTATACTATTATATATACTTGTGCAATTTGGGATTTTTTTTTTGGGGGGCCGCCCCCGTGATCAAGTGGAAAACCTGTCTTATCTCTTTGTGTTTATTGCTCATCCGTGTGGGCAAAATCTATCTACTGCTACAAAAAACAAATCCCAGAATTGCTTCAAGATTTACCTCCAAACAAAACACTACAGTAGAGAAATCCCATTTAACATTTGTTTGTTTAGATTTCCTTCGTGCGGCGCCGAATTCAGGTCCCGGGCGGTCCGTGAGCGCCTTCGGAGAGCTTCCCTTGGAGACCTCCATGAGTCTTTCGCACTCGCGAGGCAGACAATTTCGTTGTAGTTTTGAGTGTCAAAATCCGCCATTGATGTTCGTAAAGCAATCGGATCCACCATTGCCAACAGTTGATGATTTTGATGAGTGGGATTCCAATCATGAAAATCAGACTATCCCACTCATCACCTAGTCTGTTAGTCATGTTAGTCATGTTAGTCTGTTTGATGAGTGGGAAAATATGGTTTGTTGATTATTTTGTTGCTAACAGATGAAAAACCTCAGATCACTTCTTCAGCTATAAACCTCCAGCCATAGTTTGGGGATTTCCAATTGCTATGTTTGATTTTCGGTTGCTGAATGTCATAGAAAATTTATGGATGTGTTTGTTGGAAAACCTACCAGGAAAGTATCGATCAGTTTCCAATCGGGGAAGCCCATGGTCTATCTATGTCTATCTTAGTTTTCCGGACCCTATGGAATGTTAGAAAAACAGCTCTGAATTTCTACTTTTTGGTGACCCGGCCTGGGTCATCGTAAAACGATGCAAAACGATTTCCCAAAAATTGGGCCAAGGCTGATGGGTATTCAACCACCCATGGCCCATGATTTTATCATCATAAAAACATCCTCACGTTTGATAAAATAATGATTTTATGTATATTTTATGTATGATGGATAAACCATGATGTTTAAACCTAATGCTGGATGTGTTTTCTTGGGGAAATGCCTTTTCAATGTATGAACATCCACTGGTGGCGATTTCGCTGTGACATGCTGTGACCAGTCCTGGCAGGTGGTTCGAGTGCCAGTGATGGAGACAATGACGCAGCTCAGTTGGCGTACATTTTATATAACCAACTATATACAAGCAGAAAAGAACCAGCTGGATGGTTTAACCATGTTTAACCAATTTCTTGTTTTTTGGGGTATAGCCATGGTGAAATGACTTGCATACTTACATTAAAAAAAGAAAAATGAACCCCTTTAAATGATGGCGATGTTGGCAATTATTGACAGGAACTGCACCCACAAAATCCCACAAGTACTATTCGGTGGTCTGAGATGACAATGTGAATTAGGAACATATAGCGAAGTGTCCCGTTTCCTTCCTAATTCTGGGATTGAAACTAAAACACTTCCTAAAAGCCAAACACAAAGCTTCAAACTGCTTCTATCCAGGTCCAGAGCCGTATGCTGCAAATAACTTAGCCAAAGATCATACCCACAGGATCCATGTATGGTATACATACTAACATTGGGGGTATATTGATGGGATCCATGTTACCATATATAGCATACATGGATCCTATGGGATATATTGAATGATCCACTGAAGCAATGCGTTCGCAAACCTTGGCCCCTTCACCGGCCTCAAGGGTGGAAAATCTCACCATTGACCTTGGACCATTTGGACGCACTCCGATGGTGGTGATGGTGGGGGGTTCCCCAACTAGTCCGAATTTCCCCTAATTAATATAAAAACACCCTTATCAGAAACCTTGGTTTGGTATTGGATGTATTCATGGCTTGGTGTCCATTGTTGTGGGCATAGATGTCCTTTTCCACCGGCTGGTTGATTAATATGCAGTAAGATTCCCTCCATTCAACAAGCAAGATCAAGGTATATCTCGGATAACAGTAACAATTTACGAAACCAGCCCCTCTATTTTTCCTAAAAGGACGCTAGTGATTGGGGGTATTGAAGATTAGGGGGTTGTAGTCTCCGCTCAGGAGGGTCAGACCGCGGAGGCGAAACAGGAGGATAGCTTGGGAGGAGGCAGTCACTTGCCACTTCGGGTTTCTGGCCAGTTACCCATGGTTACCCTCTAGTAGACTATATAACATAGCGAAAACAACAGTTTATAGATCATTTTCAAGGGACCGCTATTTCTAGAGCTGAGTTAGTCTACTGGAGGTTACATGATGTTACATCCGAAATCGTGCTAAGTTGGCCCAAATAACATTGGCCGCTTTAACGATAATGCGTTTGTTATCTTGGCCTTACATTACTGACATGCACCATTTGGGAATTAGGCATGGAACGACTACGAAAAATTGGCAGTTCAAAATGAAGACCTGTGGGACATCATCAGACCTGGAAAATGTCAGTTTGAAAATCCAACCAGGATTGCATTTGTTTATCATATTCTGAGGGAATCTGATTGCATCTGCTTATCATACCCCGAGGGGATTTTAAGGCGTGAACTTTGGGGAAGATCTACTGAAAGGATCCCAGTGTCTGATGGGCAGACAACATCAGAGTCTGGTAGGGACTAGCAGTTTCCAGACAAGGCCGTGTTGGGCACCACAGTGCCACATTTGGATGAAATATATTGAAATATGATGAAATGATTCGCCTGCTATGCCTTAGAAATCTTACAATGATGGGTCCCTTCTCTTAAGGTTTGCAATCTGACAACTCGGCAAACTCGGCAAAATCCCAGGTCGTTCTCGGTTCATCCTATGAGCCCGTCACAACCGAGAACCGTCTCTGAAACCCCAAGCCATGAGGTTCTCCGACCTCCTCAAGTGCATTGATCTCTCAGGTAGGGCTGTTTCAGGGTGCACCAAGGGGCAATCCCAGGGGATTTTTGCGGAAACATGTGACGCACATTTTCCGATCTTAGCTGTAGAAATGATTATCGTTCTCGACTTTTCATGATTTTTCCATGTCCAGAATTTATACCCCACCCAGTGATTTAAATGTATTTGCATCCCGGCCCTGCTGTAATCTGATTTATACAAAAAGCAAGTAAAGCAAGCGTGCCTTCTTTATGAATCAATCATTCTGCAGCTTGCTGCTGCCCAGGCGGAAAAGGTAGTCAAATTAAGAGGACACTTGGAAGTGTCAATTCTTGGATATTCTCGGGGACAAACTCTGCAGGTGGAACAGTTGGAAGAAGAACCCTGCAGTGGGAAAAAGATCCCATTAGGGGACTTCACTGGCTATTGACTTGTTGGAATACCTACGGTAAGACGTGTAAGACATACTGTGGATGGAAGAAATCATGCACCAGTTGGTAGATGGTTTATCCAAGTTTATCCCATTAGAAGCCCATTGTTTGTAGTGTTTCATAGTTACCAATAGTTGCCAACTGGTGCAGGATTTTGTTCATTCATAGTATACCCATGTTGTCCCATCAAAGCAACTTAAAATTGCCCAAGACCATGTCTAGCAGGTCATTCCACCAAAAGAAATCCAACACATTGAAGCCACAAGTTTAGTGTTGCAAGCTTATGTTCTCGTTCCCACATAAATATTACAGATATATACATGTACAGACTATACAGATATTATGCATAGACTCATAGAATTATATATATATAGAAATAGATTGAATCACAGATAGATTGCATAGATGGATAGATAGATTAGATTAGATTAGATTAGATTAGATTAGATTAGATAGATAGATAGATACGTACATAGAGATTCATAGAAATACATAGGAATACATAGAGATATATGGATACACATGATACATAAACACATCGGGCCACGAGGCGTTTGATTCTTATGCCACTGGAACTTCTTCCAGCGGTCAACGGATCTTTCTTCGCTTTGCACTTTGGTGGATTCAGATGGATTCAGGGGGCATGGAAAATACCCTCTGGTTATGACTAACAGTTTGCCATGGTATAGATGGCCCTAATTGAAATAGATGATTTTCCCAGCTATAAATCGCCATTTATTTAGGGGATTTTCCAGAACTGTTTGTCATAACCAGAGGGTATAGAAATGGGAACAATCCAGAAGTGTTGTGTCCGACTTTTCGGCATCTTCCTGACAGTTGTCATCATTACCCTCTGGTTATGACTAACATAATTAGCCCTGGAAAATCACCCTTTTTAATAGGTAAACCTTCTATTTCTATGGGCCATCTATTCCATGGCTATGTTAAATATTCAGAGGCTAGTTCTGATCATTGCTGTTTATTGTGGAAGAATTGTGGCTAATATTGTGGCTAATATTGTGGCATGATGTTGTCATGATGGTGTCATGATGGCCGAAGATCATGGGAAATCTTCGGCAAGTGATGAGCATCATTTGGGGATATTACCCACCTTTCGCTCGGATGAAGGCTTAATTTCTCTATTCCTTTCTTTTTTTTGGTATGTGTATGTCTACATACAAGTGTTTGTATGCACGTAGATTGAAAACAACACATATGTACAGGTAGTAAATATGGGTGTATGTGTACGCTCAAATTAGGAATAATATAATAATACTATAATATAAATGTTATATAACTATAGATCTGTGATGATCTGTGTACGTGTGTGCCTGTGTGTGCGTGGGTGTGCATATATTCAGACAGAGACAGGGAAAGGGTTAATTTCCAACACTTGACCGGTATCTTAAGTCGGTGGGTCTGAAACTCACCATAGTTCACGCCGATCCTCAGTAACTTCTTGGAATTATAGCCATGTTGGGTGCAGTTGTGATATACGTTTGGAGGGTACCCAACACTGCGCCAAGCATACTGGAGTCAATCTTGATCATTATAGTATAGTTTGGTCCTCACTGGCTTCTGGTCCACACGAACATGGTTTGAAGCTCCCAAATTTTTGACTTGATTTCACCTCGAAATCGAGGTATTCTGGGGGATTTCGTGATTTAGCTGTGTGAACTGTGTGGGCTGTCACGATTTTGTTTATACAGACACAAGCAAAAAGAATCAAAAAGATGCCGAGAAGTATTACCCTCCGGTAAATTAACATAGACCCTGGCAGATAATTATGGGTTGGAAGACTGGTTTCCACTAAAACTTGTTTATTTTCGGGGTCTATGTTAATTTACCAGAGGGTACCAAAAATGTTATAATATATATATATAGATATATGTTTACTTCATGATTTCTATAGGTTTCCCACTACTTTCATTTATGTTTCCCGTGTCGCTCCCAGGTGGATCTGAAAGGATTCGCCGGGGACTTGCGGGACGCAATGCCCAAGAAGAGGTCGACGACTCATCGGTGGAAAGTTGGAATGGCGAAGTTGGCCATTTGGCTATGGATCAATACCTATTAATACCATTATTAGTGGGATGAACATCCATTTACCAGCTATTTTGATGTTCACCAGGGGTACAAGGTTTTGACACACTGCCATTTGAGTTTGGATGAAACGTTTGATTTTCGAAGGACTTCTTGGTCTCAATTTATGATAATGTACTGTATGATTTGGATTTGGAGAAGATGGACTTCATTGTTGGTCACTTCACATCGCTATATGGGAAAATTGCAAATGAAGATAGATGTTCCCTGTAAAACATGGTGATTCTCCTTTGTTGTCCTAAATGACCAGAGGGCCCATTCCGGACCCATTCGAAATGATTTATTGGATTTATTGTAGCCATTGGTAGACTGACAAGCACACAAGTTGAGCTCTTTCCCCTAAAGACTCAAATGTTTGGATTGGAACAACGGTCTTCTGAACCCATTTTGCCTAGAATTGGATGATATGGGAACATCTATGCACGCAAAGAAACGATAACATTTGAGGGTAAAAAGGGTTAACACTGTTAACACTATTATGTATGTACTATACATATTTATACGCACATATATGTTTATAACATATACTGTTTATAACATATATATATATATAGATATATATATATATGTATATATATATGTATACATATATGTATATATTATATACATATATATGTATATATATATGTATATATATATGTATATATATATATGTATATATATATGTGTGTATATATATATATATATATGTGTGTGTGTGTAAAATCCGGTGAAGATTTTCCCATCCATGTATTTTGCCATGGCATGGCATGGCATTTTTTTCGACAGGCGGCCGCAGGCGCATGAGTTCGCAGCGGTCCTGGAAATTTGCTTCGATGCTGAGACAAGTTGGCTTTGGGGGGATAAACATGGTTAAAACTATCGGATTTAATATGATAAATAAATTATTATGATTTAATGAGGTATTGGTGAGGATATAAAGTACTATTTTCAGTATAAGCATAGTTCCGATGTTGTGATAGCATATATATATATTATAGGATTATAGGATTCATAGTTGCAAAGGGAAATAATAAACTGGGAATGATACCACCAAGAAACAAGACATTGGATTCTGCATAGCTTTCTGTTGGTTTATGAACTGTTGGATGCCACAAAAAGGGTCTCCTGATTTTCCTGGCCTGGATCCATGGGAAAATCTTCAGCAGGGAGTAAAGACTCACCATCCCAGGCAGGGTCTCAGCCAAGAGTTTTGAACATCGGCGTGGCTTTGAGTTTTTATAAAAAATTGGCGTGGTTTTTCCCGAATTCTCAGTTTGTCACTGGTTCTTTCTTTCTGCCACATCACTTCCAACATCTTCCAACCCCTCCCTCTCGCAAGAGTCCCGCCTAAGGATGATACCGCACAGCTTCAATCCAACCTTGGTGTGCGCGTCGGATCAGGACATAGAATGACTTACCCAGTAATTTTTGTGGAACCGAGTGCAGAGGAAAATCTCACGGAGCCATGTAGATGATGTTCCCACTAGGGAGCCTCCATTTACATGGAACCTTCCACTGATTTTCATATGGGATTTCCGTGATTTATAAATGATACATTTGTAGAAAGTTGTGATTGTCCAGTGCAAGGTGAAGTTGCTGCAGGTTGTTTGAAACCAATTTTGGGATGGGATTTCTTGGCGCAATAAAAATCCCAGAGCAGTGATGTTTGATGTTGCTGAGTATCCCTGAGACTCTTGAGAGGCTTCTTTCCAAATTCCAATCAAAAACCCAAAGAGGAGCTAAACGTGGGTTGCAACGAGCTAAACCATGTCATGTTTGCCATGAGTGGGGGTATTACATATCCTGCTAAGCGATGCTATTCTACAGATTGAACATGTGTGGGTTGATCAATATCCTTATGTATGCTGGTTCAACACCCATTTTTGGTTGGTTAATATGAATGTAATGTGTATATATATATATACACACGCATATGTACTATAGTCATAGTTATATTTACCCAATGCCATTGGGAACCAAGATCCACCATGAGAGCCATAGGACTGACGTTGCAGTTTTTTCAAGTCTTCATTCAGAAGGTCCAAGAGGGGACGGCAGTGGCGCTCGATCATTGCTTCTTTCCTAGAATTGGTTGAAGGGACAGAATCAAATTTGAAAAGGAAACGTATTTAGAGCAGAAACCCGGGTTTCCTGTAAGTATATTTAAATCTGCCCCTTAATAATCCTTAATAATCCTTAATATCCTAATGCTGCAAACCAGCCTCGATACAACTCTTATCCAACCACAGTGGTGCCTATGGGCATTTTCTGTACCACTGACATCCCTGGCCCCTTAGGGGTCCTGAAAAGCTTTCCCAGCTTTTGGGTTTCAGCGTCAATCCTCCAGGGTAGAAACAATTATATACTTGGGCTTCCCAGACAGTGGTAAGCCCGTCATTCCTATAACTAGAACTTGTCTTCGTTCTCTAGTATTGATGGCTACCGCCCATTCGCAGTTCAGGATGGGAAGGACAATTGACGTCAGTAATTTCACAGGCGGAGCATTAGCCACAGAACTTTCCAGGTTGTTTATGCTACCGCCGCCCGTAGCGAACTCGGTGTTTTTGCTGTTTTTTTTTTTAACTTTCATGACTTTTATCTGCATCCACACATGGCTTCTTTACATGATCACACATACATTACATACTCACACATACCTTCGGATGGGGGGGATGTTAACGTCTTTGTGCACTTGCTCACATGTTGAATGCTACGCTCCACACGTCTTCTTGACATCATCACACCATTCTTCGGGTGGCGGGGAGGTGTTAACGTCTTTCTGCACTTCGTCACGTGTTTGATGCTACGCTACACACGTCTTCTTGACATGATCACACATACCTTTGGATTGGGTGGGCTGGGGGGTTAACGTCTTTCATGCTACGCTCCACATGTCTTCTTTACATGATTGTACGTACCGCTAACATCTTTCATCCTTCGCTCCACCAGTCTTTTTTACATGATTGTACATGCCGCTAGCATCTTTCATGCTACCGCTCAACATGTCTTCACATTGTCTTCTTGCAAAAGTTTGCCAGAGAAGTGATAAGACAAAATGGTCGTAAGACCACAGTTGGCACACAGACGATGGACAAATGTCGGGATTACTGTAAAGATTTCATTCCAAACAGTGTCCATACAAAGAATGCAAAGAACAAACTTTTGAATGCTGAGATATGGAACTATGTCTACCAATGGCAATGGCGATGCAATCATCGCCATGCCTTGTGGCAAATGGTGCCCAAGGTTCTGAAAGAACTTTGCGCATGAGATGTTACATCTGCGAATGAGAAAGGTAAAAAGGACTGAGTTTGCTATGGGCGGCGGTACCTTGTTAGTGGTTACCCTTCGGTAATTCAACATGGCAATTGAACATCCTCTTTAATGGGCGTTGGAAAACACATACATATTTAGATAGATAGATAGATAGATAGATATCGATCGATTGATAGATAGATAGATAGATAGATATATTTGAATGAATAACATAGAATAGATAAGATAAGGTTAGATAGATAAATAGGCAGATAGATAGATAGATGGATAGATAGGTAGATAGATAGGGAGATTAGATAGGTTAGAGGGATTAGATAGGTTAGATACTTGGATGGATGGATATATATATATATATATTGATAGATAGATAGGTAGACAGATAGATAGAGATATAGATAATTATTTTAGATATAATAGATACAATAAGATCAGGTAAGATAAGATAATGATAGTTAAATAGACAGATAGATAGATAGAATAGATAAGATAAGATAATATAAGATAATATAAGATAATATTAGATAGATAGATAGATAGATAGCTAGATAGATAAATAGATAGATAGATATATATATAAACAGATAGATAGATAGATAGATAAATAGATAGATACATATTTATATTAGATAAAACAGAACATATAAGATAAGGTTAGATAGATTAATCGATAAATAAATAGATAGATAGGTAGGTAGATAAGTAGATGAATAGATAGATAGATATAGGTAGATAGATAGATAGATAGATGGATATATGGATAGATAGATTAGATAGGTTAGAGGGATTAGATAGGTTGGATAATTAGATGGATGGATAGATAGATAGATTGATAGATATGTAGATAGGTAGATAGGTAGATAGGTAGACAGATAGACAGACAGACAGACAGATAGATAGGATAGATAGGATAGATAGGATAGATAGGATAGATTGGATAGATTGGATAGATTGGATAAATTGGATAGATTGGATAGATTGGATCGATAGGATCGATAGGATAGATAGGATAGATAGGATAGATAGGATAGATAGGATAGATAGGATAGATAGGTTAGATAGGATAGACAGGATAGATAGGATAGATAGGATAGATAGGATAGATAGAATAGATAGGATGGATAGGATGGATAATGAGATGGATGGATAGATAGATAGATTAGATAGATTGGATGGATTAGATAGATTAGATAGGTAGATAGGTAGATAGATAGACAGACAGATAGATAGATAGATATATAGATTGCGATGGCGAGAGAGAGAGAGATATATATATATACATTTATATATGTATATATATATATATATATATCTGTCAATATTGTACCTTGGGGAATTGCTATTCATGTTTGATGCCGGGGGCATCTATGATCTGTACTTCCCCAGCTGGAGATCTCCGGACAGGCGATGAACCGGCTGGGCCTTCAAATTGCTTCGGTGCTCTTTGTGACTTGGACGGCTTGGAGGTGGATGATGGTTGGCCTTGGCCGAGGTCCAGGGTCTGGTCTCATGTGCGCTGGTCGTATCTGAAAGATTTGGAAGGAATTAGCTGGACATATTTTTTTTTTGGTGATGTTGGTTGATAGGGGCTCTTTTCCATCTAGGGAATTTGCAGATTCTCGTGTAGAGAAAACAATCCAATCTCATTTAAAATGATGCTTCCTTTTGCGTCATTATCACGGTGCAATACCTAAAATTGAATTCAGAAGTGTGAAACTATGCGCCGCACTTTGAGTTCCCTTTGTTTGGAGATATTTGGGTTACATACATATTCTATCATATTCTTCCTCACAGCTCCTATGATAATTAGGGCACCACTAGGCCCTAGGTGGCATCAAAAAAGTCATAAAAAACTTCGTTCACGTCCATTCGTCATGACTTTCACGCACAGATCCCATTTGATCAACATATTTATGAGTATTAAACCCATCTAGTATGTCCCCAACCTAGTACGACCCCATTTGAACTTGAATTGTGATTGTGGCTCTTCGCACGTTTGGGCCCTTGGCCCGTTTGTTATTGTTACCAAGGAGGTGCTTGCGCAACATGACGACGAGTGAGCCGCCGTTCGCCGATCTTCGCCAGGGAATTTTTGTGTCCTGGTGGTGGGAATCACTTGAGCTCTTAGGCAGAGCATGGCAGAGCTCATTGCCCAGTAGGGCACGGCACATTTAACTGCTTGGTTATATTGGAGCTCGAGCCAGATGACTGCGATAATGAATATATATATAGAATGTCGAACAATACTTTGCAGGTTGAGATTGTTTGCCGCCATTTATCATATTTGTTTGACTTGTTATTTGGTGACCATTTTTGCTTGACTTGTTAGTTGGTGACCATGCTGTGTTATTGCTGTTCAGATTCATGCCTCGCAGGCATGCAGGGTGAGAGAAGCATCTCTGGAGCGGTCGGATGAGAGTACACAGGATAGATCAGGTATCAGCCAGAAATCTCTGGTGCCACTTATTGGAAGTCAGTCCATGACCCATGCAAAAATGTCCATCATGATCATGCGCATTGTTTCTGGAATTCACAGCCAATCAGACTCAAAAAAGTTTATTGCCGAGGAAACCGGCGGATCTCGCATGGGATTCACATTTGTTGAATTGCCGATGCCAACCAGCCCACGTTCGTAAACAACATGGTTTATATAATTGATTAGGGGTCACTCCAAAAAATGGGAGCATTTGAATTCATTTGAAATATGTGCTGTTGAAATTGTAGCCAGCAACTGGAGGGTTCACTTCCAAGGTGGACATTCAATTTTATATTTTGATCCATGATTTCGCTTGCATCGAAGTTTGCCCTTCGGCAAGTCCGCCGTGTCTCAGATGATGCCACACTGCAACGTCCAAATGATCAAATGCAAATCTTGCGCGTCCGCGTCGCAACCCTGCGACAGGCGCCCACCACATAGATGGCTGCGGGTCAAAGTTGAACACTTGAACATCATCCAACATTTGATCTTTGATCATTCATGCAACCTTTATTTTAATATGTTTCTCCTCCCATGCAGCTCTCCTGTCTTTGTTTGCAATGTGGTACAGCCAATACCGTAAACCTGCACACATCTTAGATGATACCACCCTTTTCCATCCTGTTCCGGCAAAATTGCCGATGGTTTGTTCTTTGGCGTTTGCCACGTTGACTAGATATATTTTTCAATTATTTTCAATTGGCCTGATAACTAGTTCATCACTATCAAAAAATTATGAATGGATTACATCACCCAACTGAGACCTTTGTATAATCCCCATCCAATTCTAATATGGGTATGGATCAATACCTATTAATACCATTTTTAGGGGATGAACATCCATTTAACAGCTATTTTGATGTACAAGGTTTTGACACACTGCCATATGGCTATCATGTTTGACTCCCTTTGACCCGACTCCCCGACTCAGATCGCCGTGTCTGGCAGCGCCAATCTTCGGCAGCGCCGGCTCGCCGACCAAAACGCACTACCCTGGCAGAAGGTTTTTGCTTGGTTCAGTCCTGACCCTATAATCAAGGGATAAATATCTATCAGTACATGTGTATACATTTGTTATATATATAGAAATATATAGAACTGGATAGATATGTTTATTTCGCTATATTTGAACATATTTCAATGTTTGTCTATCAGAAGGGGATGCAACACAAAATTTGAATACGGATGGGTACATGTGTATTTGTGCACGCGTACACATATGCGTTATATATATATATGTATATGTACAAAAAAATATTATATATACATTGAGAAGATATCGGTCCCGTCCAGTACTTTTCCAGCTGCCACCATTTAATGCATCCCTAGTTTGATTTGTCCACCTTTCTGGATTTGGTATGTAGCTAAATAATTGCCTATATTCATAAATGCACATATGGCTATATATATAATATACGTGATGAATATACGACTTTTCAGCATCAGTTTAATACAAGTATATACCAATGAAACCCCAAAGTCTTTGTCTCTGCCTCTCTCTCTCTCAGACTTAACTTCTGTAGATAGATAGAAATTTAGAGATAGATGGATGGGTGGATAGATAATTAGGTAGAAACATATAGGACGATATATATTATACATACATACATATATATATATATATACATACCTATGGGTCGATAAAAATAAGTAGATAAATTTAGTTATAGGTGGATACTACCACTAGGCTTAAGTCGTATCAATCGACCTGAAGTCGTATCACACCTGCGTGCGCGCAGTGTTTCGTATAGATTTTGATAGTTCTTTATTTGATGGGTTATTGATTCGAACACTTTTTCATCGCTGTGCGCAATGTTTTGTTGACATGATTCTATTTGACCCTACTAGCCCTAGCGTTAAGTCGTATCAGCTCGTAGAAGTTGTATCGGGAGGCCGTGCGCCTGGAAAAAGTTCAAGTTTGGCATCACCACAACTTTTAGTAATTGGACGATTTCATTGTTTTGGGGCCGTGCGCCTAGAAAAAGTTCAATTTTTGTATTGCGTTGATTTATAAAACTTATATTATATTTCATTATTCTTTCAACGGGGCAAACGCTGGTTGCTGCTTTCTGCTTGCTTTCTGCTTGCTTTCTGCTTGCTTGCTGCTTGCTTTCTGCTTGCTTGCTGCTTGCTTGCTGCTCCTTGCTGCTGCCTCCTGCTGCTGCTGCTGTTGCTGCTGCTGTTGCTGCTGCTGTTGCTGCTGCCTCCTGCTGCTGTTGCTGCTGCTGTTGCTGCTGCCTCCTGCTGCTGCTGCTGCGGCTGCGGCTTCCTTCTGCTGCTGCTGCTGCCTCCTGCTGTCGCCTTGTTTGGCGCTGGCGGGAGATACGGGCGGGAGACGCCAGCAGAGAGAGGGAATGTTTACAGAAGGCAGAACTTATGAAACATTCAAGCGGAAGCGGATGTTGACAGCGATGTGCCACTGGGTTTTCAGATTTTAACGTTGTTGATATGATGATGTTGCCCATAGCTATTACATGGAAATTTATGTTTGTTAGGAAACAAAGTTAAAGATCTGGGAGGCCGTGTGCCATGGTGATTCCTAAATATATCCTTTGAAAACATAGTTTAAACATATGTGAATACCTCAGTGTGCGCAATGTTTTCTTCATTTTTGGAGATATAATAACATTCCTTGAAAGCCGGTGTGCCATTGGGATTTTGATATTTTGATGTGACTTTTGCCCAGTTGATGTGACTTTCTTCCAACTCGCTGTTACATGGGGTTGATGTGACTTCTGCCCAACTGATGTGACTTAAACCCTTCGCTAGTAGATACAGGTAGATAGATAGATAGATAGATAGATATAGATATAGATATAGATATAGATATAGATATAGATAGGTGGACAAAGATCTGGGCTACAAGTGCTCAGCAGTCTGAGCAGGGTTGACTGGGCCGGGGATCCAATCTGAAGCATCGAAAACAACACAAAAACAAAGTCTTCCTGCACAAAGGGTCCTTCCAGTTTGAAATTGGTATGCCATCCCATTATCACATATTATCACCTGGTATGTATTAAATGGATTTAAATCGTTGGACTATTCAAGAATATTCAACATGTAGGTCATTCGGGGGTTGTGGATGCCGAAATCAGGTCAGGATTTGTTGAACCATGCATAAATCAAGGACCCAAAGGGTCAAAAATCGCCAGGGAGGCAACTTTTGCATATGCCAGTGATGAAAACACCGAAACAACCAGGGGCCCCTTCCAAACGGAAGCGGCCACGCCTGGTAATGGTATTGAACGGCGGAGTCGACCATTTCAAGAGCACCAGTTGCTGAATGGTACGGAAGATAAATTTGGAACATGTTGAAAGTTATTCCAAGATTTAAGACCTTTTGGAACCCCATAGATTTGGGTAATTTGAGCAAAGCATGAGACTTTGGGGGGTGCTCCATTCCGTCCCCTTCATTGATACATATCTTAACATATCTTAATATGATTGCTCTAGATACCTCTGGGATCGTTCCAAGATTTGGGATCTAAAATCACTGCGGATCAGCAGCCCCCGGTGTCAATCCCCCAATCCCACCATCGTTGCTGGTGAAACATCGCCACCGGAAAACTTACGCCACCGTGTTGGGTAAAGCCTCGGTGCCTGAGGTTTTGGCTGAGCTGGTCGTGAGTCACTATAGATACAATGTTAGGCCCCCAAGATAGCTAAGTTGGTTCATAACTCCAATAACTATGGTTTATGGTACTTATAACTATAGTTTTTGGGGCTTATAAACCAACTTATAATTGGGGGGCCTCACATTATAGATATATGTGGAATAGTTTTTAGAATTAGTTAAGATTGTACCCTCTGGTTATGACTAACATAGCCATGGGAAATGGATGGAAATGGCCCATAGAAATAGATGGCTTACCTATTAAAAATGGTGATTGTCCATGGCTATGTTAAATAACCAGAAGGTATATACTATTGTGCCTACGTATATATATATATATATATATATATACATGCGTACTCTATATATATACACATATTTGTGCGCATGTGATATTGACTAGTCTGACACATGTACTCGTTGTTTTGTCTCTCTTTTTTCGGGTAAATGGCGATGGCATAAGATGTTTGAGGTAATTAGTGCTGAAGTAGCCAAGGAACCAGGGATAATTTACAATCACTGCGTAACCGGGTATCCAATCTTGCCACTAATTATCATATTGTGTGGTTCAACACCCATTTGTGTTGTAATATATGTCTATTATGAGTGTGTTTGTACGTATAATATTACATATGTATATATATTTATTATTATATATTTATATATAATAGAAGATGTATATTATTGTTTTCTGTTCGATTTTTAATCAACCAAGGTTGGCAGGCTGATCCGAATTGATTATAATGGTTCAATCAGGGTGAAACCACACAACAGATTTATTTCCATTGGTATCTACGAGTTGCCGAGTTGGAAATCAACGACACTTTCCATGCCCGGCCGCTGTGCAGCAACTGGTGCAACACCTCTTGAGCTGTCGACCGCCAGGGAAATGGGTCACTAGCTCCATATGATCCCCTCTGGGTCCACACATGGGGTATGGGATAATCGGATACGATTTTTTTAGAGGGATACGAAAGTAGACCATCCAGTAACTTAACATAATGGAACATGGCCTATTTTGGTTCCCCGTCATGGTGGTAATGAGAAACACCATTGGAATTTGGGGCATGCTATTGTCAGCCACTCGCATGTAGTTGGGTCAAGAAAAGCAACCGGACGGCTTTATGGTGGAGATCAGTGCAGTTGGGTGAACAAGAATTCCCCCAATGATACCGGATTTATGTAGAAGGACCCTTCCAGTATTTTCCACTTACCACAGGACGCAGCACACCCTATCAAACATCCTTAACAGTTGAATTTGCACACTACCAATTCATGACAGGATCCATATGTTGCACGAGGGTTTCTTGGAATCACATCCCAACCACGATCCAATGCACGTAAGCGTGAATGAGAAGCGACCCATTCCAACATTTGTTAGAGAAGGGCAGCGCAGGTGGTGGTTGAGATGATGCAAAGTCCGAAGATTTTCCCCCCTTTCTCAGAAACACCGGGTGTTTCTTGATTCGCCTCCGGTAAAGAGGTGACAGAGCAACCATTCCAACCTTCAGTGAGAGAAACATGCGGTCGCGGGATGTGACGCTGGCAGGAGGTTAATCTCTAGGAGTCCTCCAAGACATCTTGGGAACTGAACAGATATCATGCAGAAAACATCCAGTGAGAATGGTTGATAGGCGAGTTGTTTTCCATGGATCCATTGCCCGGTAGGGTTGCCACAGATTGTAATTTGGTCGATTACAGCTGGTCATGCCAGCATCGCAAGTTGGGATTTTTCAACATTCCGATTCGAACGTTTTCAGGCCAAGTCAGGGTTTAGAGAAGAGCATCACTCGCTGGTTTTACCACCACCGTTTTGAGTCACAGTCACACGGGTTTGTTTGAATAGATGGGTATCCTCAAATTGGACAGTTTACTGTCACTAGTTCCCAGGCTCACATTTCAGGAGGTGCAGGAGGTTTCCTGACCTGGAATTTCGGAGCAGGTGCCTTGGTTCATGGAGCATGCAGTTTACATAGCTTCCGGTTTCGTATGCCGCTCATCAATATGACATAATGTAATTAATCTAACTTCACATGTGCTTGTTAATGGATTTATATATATATATATATAATACATATAAATAATATAATATAATACATTTATTTATATATGTATGTATAATGTTGCCAGACCCTGATCATGTCTGTGCCGACTCTTGGCTGCTCAAGCATTCCGCGAGCCAGACTTGGAAACTGACTTGAAACTACCGTCACTTGGTTGGTACTGAAACGTGACAATGCATGACAATGGAACATGTCTTATATTGCTATGCGTCAAAACCTCTGTGCCCTACCCTGAAATACCTAATTATGCATGTGTGTTCCTCCAAATATGGTAATAATAGGGTTCGACCCTAATAATATATATAGATAGAGTATATTTTTTTCGCAAGTGACGCGCATATCGCCACCCTAGATTACCAGGGGCTAAGTGTCGACTCTGCGCAACGATAGAAGAATTGCTGCACCAGTTGGTTTCTATTGGAGACTATGAAACACCGTAAATCATACGAACAATAAAGGGAGAAACCACAGTATCAAGCAGAATCTATGTCAACATAGATCAGGTGACCTACAATGTAGCCATTCCTCTTTTGATGCCCTGGCCACCCCCAGCCACCCCTGGGCACCCCTGGCCACTGTAAACCTCGCAGAATCTGCCAGCCATGGCCATGATTTTTCGCTGCAAAGCTGATCCGTCCTACGTTCTGGGCGTGTTTCTTGGCTGCCATGGTATCAGGTACCTGGTATGTGGTCACCAAAAACCAAGGGTATAAGTCACTCGTAAACGTGATAAACACCAGGTATATAGAAAATGCCAAACGATGCAAAACATGTATAAACACCAAACGGAGGCTATGGACCAAACGGAGGGCCTAATCAGTATACCATCCTTATCCCAGCATATTCCACTTAGGGCTGCAACCCAGCTACATGTCTATTGCAGCAAGATCCAGTCGCTCCAGTCGCAGATCCCTTGGGCTTCGCTGGCAACAGAAATTCGACCCAGTCGCCCCATTAACATCACATCGAAATCATGGGATCCCATTTCCCATGACGGATCCATGGTGCTGGTATGTATGCTAACATAAAGGGGGTATATTGATGGGATCCATGTCACACCATATATAGCAGCACCATGGATCCGTCATGGGTTTGTGCATTGAACATGCAGAGGCTTTCCGTTCCAAAGGTTTGCGCTGCCGACGTCCCAAAAGGTCTCAGAGTGGGAAAGATTTGAACGGGGAATTCTCGGCAATAGCGCAAGCTTCTATTTTGCAGCCGCACGTTTGCGAAAAGAACTGTCCTGACCCTTCTTCGTAATGTTCATTGGAGACATGGTGTGTTGTTTTTCAGCGAGGCCGTTCAATCTGCATATAAGGTTGTTTGAATGTGGGCGAACAAACATGCTTTCTTGCTGCCCGCCATTGACGAATGTTTGGCTTATTCTATACATTCAGATCAGTTGTTTCCATGGAAGCGAAGTGCCATCAGGATCCATCAGGTACATATTTGGGTCATTGATATCCATGTACAGCAAGTTCTATTTAGCTTCCACAGGCTACAAGTTTGTGTGAACCATAGAGCCCTGGCTTTAATTTAACTGTTATCACATTCGATTCCCACCAGACAAGCAGGACTTCACATCTACATGCCCCTTCATTAAAGAATAAGGCTCCCCAACATGGAAAAGTCTGGAATTCAATCATATAGTAACCAGTGTGCCAAAGTGTTTATCCTGTGCAACCCATCTCAGAAAACACCGTTGGTATCGAACTGTTTATTTATACAATTTTATACAAGGTTTCCCTTCACTCGTGTGCAATTTGTGCGCACCTGGTGCATCTGTTGTGTTGTGCTATTTAAATGTGTTTGTGTTATGTTTGGTTTTGTGTTTGGCCAAGAGTAAGCCCGGGTGCGAGGGGCATTGCCGTGAAATGTGTGACAGTAGAAAAAACAGATTTTTCGTTCTGAAGTCCTGGAATTTATCTGCCACCCCACGAATTTTGCAGTAGGGCCACGGTATAGGTGACATGTTGGAAATTCCCGCCAGCAATGTTTGATCAAAGGTGCTATCGAAACTGAACTGAGCCTTTGTTTCAACTGGGCAGCGGCTCAACATATCCGTATCCAAAAAACAAGCTGCAGAAATCAAGGCAGGGCGGATAATCCGGGCTGAACCAGCCACTTTGACATCTACAAATGAGAGATTTGGGAAACATTGATTGGGTATTTCGGATCAATGTTGAACTAGAACTGAGGGAATGAAATGAAATGAAGGTTTTTTAGCAGATCTTGTGTATCACAACCATGTGCCAGCACAGTGGGCTACAATTCTCAGGTTTGCTTCCATCACCGGCAAATTTAAACAGCCGCAGGGCCAAAGGGGTTGATTCAACCTTTGTATTCTTCCGTAATGTAGTAACTATATAGAAAATGAGATAGAACATGTATGAACATGTTATATGTAGAAACAAACATATTCACGGGCGTTGCCCCAGAAATTGGGGACTTACTAGCCGCTACTAGCCAGCTTGCCAGGGGTTGGTTACCTCGGTCAAGTAGAACATGCTTGCTTCTATTGGTATGGTCACTTACAACTTGCTGACGAGGCACGGGAAACACCGACAATTTCTCCCCGACAATGATTTCCCATGCATTCATGCATTTCGTGCTGCGATCCAAAAATTGACGTTGGCCACGATGGCCCACAGACCACCAGCAGTGCAAGGTGCGGAGGCTCACGTTGGGAATCCACAGGCTGAGCCCTCCCTACTTCAACGCCCAGCGCAGCCTATTGTATAGCCCAGGAATGGGGCAGAACGTGCCAACTGCTGCGGTTTCATTTTGACTCTGACATGCAATCTGACTCGGGCCTGGCGCGCCACAAGCTCCATTCCCCGCAACCAATGTCAGAAGATGCGGATCAATGTCAGGAAGCGTGCCACATTTTTATCAGAAAAATATGCCGAATTAAATTTCAGAATGGCTGCCAGGATGAATGGCTGATTTTTTTGCAGCACTCATGTCCCTTTTTTATATATATGTTATATGTTTGAATTTATGTCAGGACAAATGCCACAGCAAATGTCAGAGTACATGTCGAAGATATTGTCTCGAAATTAGTTATGCCAGAGTTCATGTCAGAAAATATGTCGGGTCAGCGTTTAGATATGTGAGAAGACCAACAATTTTAGGTATATTTTTTTTCTGCTGGAATGTCCGGATAGACGGACACGTTTGCTTATTGCAGCATATTGTAGCATTTTATATCACGGCGGCGATCATTGGCTGGATGTACAGTAATCATGTTAGAACGGTTATTGTTTGAGTCGAGGGTTGGTGGCTAGAAAAGATGCTGCCAACTTTGTGCTTGCACCTCTGCATGCGCTAAGGAGGAGCGATAATTGTGCGCAAGGTGGTTGGGTAGGACGGAATTGATTGGTGGAGATTGGGAGTTCATAGTGCCAGTTCTTCCCGTGTTGGAAAGGTGGATGTGATACACGTTCTAGCAAGGTGGTTCGTGCAGGGCCAGGAGGCATGCATTTATATTACGTATGGTCGCTTATAGTTCTGGACCGGGCAAGTCTGGCGCAACACCTATTGCTATCCGAGGTGACAGGGTTCGCACATGTTCAAACAAAATGGTCAGGAGTAGCCAATCCTTGACCGCAGTGTTGGCAATTTTTATCCTCATCCGTATGTTTGGTGCATATGTTGATTTTTGTTGTTCCTGAAAGGAGGAAACATTCCATAATATAAATCAACAATGATTTGTGTTGAACACGTTGGGAAATCAATGAAGAGGAACCAAGGTGAGGTGCTACGCCAGCAATTTGAGATCATTTGCCTGCCAACGCGTTCCAAGTTCCCTAAACTTGATGCCGACCCGGTATCTCCAGGACTGTTGCACCGCAACGCCCCAACGCTCCTGGTCAGCTGGGAGGTTTCGGATGGCGTCGTGCGGCCCAGGGCCAACCCCAGCTGCTCGGTGAAGGTTTGGGGGGCCAGGCATCCTTGGGCCAAACGGTGAGTATGTGACGTTGAGAAGGGGGGGAAGGAGTTGGTTGTTTTGTTAGTTTTTTGTATGGTGAATGATGATAAATATGTTTATTCCCGAATGCGTAGCAAGGGTTCCCGTTTCACTCTGGGGGTCTGGGGGTTGAGAGTGTGTTCGCTCGACGTTGCGTCCGCGTCCGCAACCGTTCGCAACCGTCCGCAACCGTCCGCAACCGTTCGCAACCGTTCGCAACCGTTCGCGCGAACTCCGTATGGCCGCCGTGCCTATGGGAAGTTTCGCAGAGGTGGTCATTTTTGGAGGTTTCAGACGTCTGGTTGCTTCGTTTCGCGTGGCAGGCGTGGCACTTCGTGACATTCAGACGTGTTCTGCAACGTGTCGAAAGTCGTTTCGCGTGGCAGGCGCAATACTTTTGTGACGTTTTCAGAAGATGTGTTGCAGTTTTCGTGGCAGGCGCAGCACTTTGGACGTGTCCATCGTCATTTTTCGTGGCAGGCGCAGCACTTTAGACGTGTCCTGTTGCGTGTTTTTTGTAAATCGCATTGGCAGGGCTGCGTCAAGTGGTGACAAGGTGCAAATTCCGTGGCAGGCGTGGCATTTTATGACATGTGCTGAAAATTGACGGAAGCCTCGCACGAAACATCGATTTTGAGGTTGCAAATTTTCAGGTTCTAAGGAAAACTCGTAGGAAAACGTCGATTTTGAAGCTGCAAAGTGTGAAAATTGGAGGAAGTCTCGCACGAAATGGTCGTTTTGGTGCTCCCAACTGTCTCTTCTCGCGTGTCTGGTTTTCCAGTGGCCTCGCCGTGTCTATGGGGGAAGCTGCAAAACTTGTCTTTTTGTCGTGTTGCCAACTGTGAAAATTGCCGGAAGTCTCGCACAAAATGCTGGTTTTTCTGCATCCACGTGTCTTGTCGCGAGTCACTGATTTTCCTGTGGCGTCGCCGTGTCTATGGGGGAAGCTGGAAAACCTGACCGTTTCGAATGTTTCCAAGCAGGTTGTCATGTTGTTTTGCGTGGCAGACGTGGCACTTTTTGACATTCCAACCTGTTTGATAACGTGTCGAAAATATAAATAAAATTGGAAGAAGTCTCGTACGAAATGCTCGTTTTTCTGCATCCACGTGTCTTGTCTCGAGTCTCTGGTTTTCCTGTGGCGTCGCCGTGTCTATGGGTGAAGCTAGAAAACCTCTTCTATTCGAATGTGTCCAAGCAGGTTGTCATGTCGTTTTGCGTGGCAGGCGTGGCGCTTTGTGACATTCCAACCTGTTTGATAACGTGTCGAAAATATAAAAATTGGACGAAGTCTCGCACGAAATGCTCGTTTTTTTGCACCCACGTGTCTCGTCTCGAGTCTCTGGTTTTCCTGTGGCGTCGCCGTGTCTATGGGGGAAGCTCCGCACTCCACACTCTACACTTTATACTCCACACTTTACACTTTACACTCCCCACTTTACACTCCACACTCTACACTTTCCACTCCACACTCCGCACTCCACACTTTCCACTCCACACTCCGCACTCCACACTCCACACTTTATACTTTACACTCCTCACTCCACACTCCACACTTTACACTCCTCACTTTACACTCCACACTCCACACTCTACACACCACACTCTACACTTTCCACTCCAGACTCCACAGTCTACACTTTACGCTCCACACTCCACACTTTACACTCCACACTTTACACTCCACACTTTACACTCCTCACTCCACACTTTACACTCCACACTCCACACTTTGCACTCCTCACTCCACACTCCACACTTTACACTCCTTACTCCACACTCCACACTTTACACTCCACACTTCACACTCCACACTTTCCACTCCACACTTTACACTCCACACTTTACACTCTACACACCACATTCTACACTTTTCACTCCAGACTCCACAGTCCACACTTTACACTTTACACTCCACACTTTACACTCCACACTCCACACTCTACACTTTACACTCTACACTATACACTCTACACTGCACACTTTACACTTTACACTCCACGCTTTCCACTTTACACTACTCACTCCACACTTTACACTCCACACTCCACACTCTACACTTTACACTCCACACTCCACACTCTACACTCCACACTTTACACTTCACACTCCACACTCTACACACCACACTCTACACTTTCCACTTCACACTCCGCACACTACACTCTATACTCCACACTCTACACTTTACACTCTACACTTCACACTCTACAATTTACAAACTCCACACTCCTCACTCCACACTTTACACTCCTCACTTTACACTCCCCACTCCTCACTCCACACTTTGCACTTTACACTCCTCACTCCACACTCTACACTCTACACTCCACACTCCACACTCTACACTCCACACTCTACACTTTACACTCCATACTCCGCACTCTACACTTCACACTCCACATTCTACACGTTGCACACTCTACACTCCCCACTCCACACTTTACACTGCACACTCCTTACTTCACACTCCACACTCCACACTCTACACTTTCCACTCCGCACTGCAGACTGGTAACAAGTGAAACATGCACAAGACTGTTCAAATAAACTATTGCAGAAAGGTATTGTGCGTGACTGCATAACCATGTGTTTTGACATCTGTACCATTAACATACGTGTGAGCATTCGGGTTCGTGGGCTTCATCTTGTTTTTTTAAAGAAAATTGTCAATGGAACCATTCATCGTAGTTGTACAAGTGGCCATGATTGGGAAAAATGACGCAAAATCAACGCAGTCAGTGAGCATATCCCTAAAACAAGTCGGATAGTCGGGGTATGCCTAACATGGACCTCATATATTGCGAATATTGCGAAGAAGTTCGTGAACCACAACCAATACCCAACAGTGAATTTGTTCATCCTGCCTGCAATCCAATTTCAGGACATTTAAATCTGGGATTCATGTTTCAAAAATTTGCCAAGGATCAGCTGGCTTCAGATTTGCACCGAAACAGTCACGTCATGACAGCTATATGCCGGGCTCAAGGATGTTCAACATCCGATGGCATACCCAGCACGGGAGAATCCTGGTAGCTTAAGCAGTCTCTGCATGGTGAAGTCATCACATGGCAGGTTTATAGCTTAGGATCTCACGGTTTACGGCATGTGAGTCGATGGAATACAAGAGGGATGAGGACATCCTAGACGTGATCACTACTTGAAGACCGCACTACTTTGGCCCGATTCCCTGCATTGATTTAATTCCTTGGTGAAGTTGCGGGAGTCAGAGTCCATAGATCGGAATTGATCATTCTGGTGGTTGTAGATGGATTGGGGGTGATAACAAGAGAAAGCACCTCCTTTTGCATGTCACATCTCACTATTGTATAGTATATACTAGTAGTTACATTTTGTTCACCATTAATGCGCCTGCATTGTGCTCAGCGTGCATTGGTTCCATCCTACCTTTTTTGCATGGCGGCATATTTGGCCATGTGAAAGCAGCTGGAGCCAATTTCCCCTGGGCAGCGGTCACCTTTCAAATTGTTGGTAAGTTGACCTCTCAAGCCCTCAAATTTGCTGGCCTTTTACGGCTTTAACATACATTCCTTTCAACGTTATATGTTTAATATCTTCCACTTGCGATCTATTTTACCAATAAGACAAAGGGATCAAACGTGTGATGTTGCCCACCCAAAAAGTAGAATGCTTTCAGTCAATGTTTTCCGGACTAAAGTCAATAAAAGGTTGTATCCCCTATCGCATCATATATCCGTACGATATTTTGGCAATGAATTCTGTTGGTTAAGTATATACCTATATAATCCTATATATATATACCCTGGTATATATATATATATACATACATACATACATGTATGTGTATCCTCTTGTGATGCATGCAGGTAACACAACTGGGTTGTCACCATTCCCCCATTTATAGCTAGGCGAATTGTATGATCCCACCAAGGCCGGGTAAACCTACACAGGGGGCATTACTTGCTAGCCAGCTAAACAGGCTAAACATGTTTTTTTGGGCCAGGGTAGCAATCATAGGGAATGTTTCCATGTTCACAATATCCTCATTAAACATCATTAATGTGGTAAACCCAATAATGAACTATCCTCAAAAACACCATCTTTATTGGTGCTATGTTTACCAACGCAATATGAGTTGTTTATGGCATTGGATTTCCCAGATTGAACATCCATGCTCGCAACATTCGCAACGCACCGTATCGCCATGGATCAGGTTGTGTCTTGTCCCTAACGGATGACAACTGTCAGAACGGCGCCTGGCTCCATCTCTCGGAAGCTGGAACGATCCTCGGGTCTCTCGACGGCGCTGGGGCGCGGGGCGCTGAAGTTATTTGATGAATCACCGTGGAAAATTGCGACAAAAACTCTAGAACCATGGTATAGCAACCCCAAAAAGATACCAAAAACTTGAAAACCTGCAAACTTTGAGGGGACACATGATCTTCACGGTGATGGAAATAAAGTGTTCTATTTTTCGAGGATAGTTATAAAACACATTAAACAATCAGATCCTACCAAAGGACCGCAACCTCACTGATGGTTCAGTTCATGGTGATTTGGTGATCACACCCAATAATAAATAACGACCCTTTTGCATTTATACGGCGTAATAAAGTGTCACTGTAACATTTTATTGCAATTGTTTTATTTTGATTGTTTTGGACCCCAATCTGCAAAAAAGAATGGTCAATTGCTCTTGTGATCTCACAACGGTATTGGCTACGGGTCGACATCAGTTGTTCCCATTACTGCCTGTATTGCCTGCTGTTTGGGACCTAAAGCTAGCCATGTATTACTTTTTTGGATGTGAACGGTTGCAAAAACGACCGGTGCCCAGACCCAACACAGATTTGCTTCGTATGTGAAGGAAAGTGTGCAAACATTTCCTGAGAAAAAAATGATACCTGTAAAATTGGGAAAACCCTAAGTTTCGATATCTTGAGACTATGTTTACCTTTGTTTCTTCTTGAACTATGATAATTGTCCAGTGCTCTTAGACCCAAATTGAGAGGACCATGGGTTTCCCTCTGATCTGCAACATTCTGAAGCTAACTCTTGGCAGTAAGGGACCCCCCCAAAAAAATATCAGCAAGAATAGGATTTAAACAACCAACAAATTTATTAATTATGCAGTGAAACAACGATTTTTTTTTAAAAAAAGATGTATAAACCCATTAATTACAATGATGGTTATGAAGGTTGTTGCGGGAAGAGAAAGAACGACAGGGAGAAACCCAATATATGTTTATATATATATACATATTATATTCTATATTACTGTAAATTGAAGTTTGGGGTATGGCATGGTATGGCGTATGGATTATAATGCCTCCGCAAGGTCAATTTGTGTATAATACGGAGTTTGCCACATTACTTTGTTGTATGGGTTAGTTGTTTTTGTCATGTGAAATTTCAATCTGCCGACTTCTGGTTCAAATGAAATCACGCTGGGCAATATATCCAGCTGTTAGCTAGTCTTGATTTTCTATTACAGGGCCCAATTCAGCACCATCCTTCATAATGATTTGGATTGGAATGGTGGGTGTGCATCAGACATCCTTTCCGTTTCCTAAGGCAGTGGGTCATCAGTGGCAACTGCTTGCGGGCAAAAGGAAATCCCGGATTCGTCCTTTGTGCGCGCAGAGATTTTCAGGCCGGGAGACAGCACCTCCAACTTTCGTGTCCATATGAGACAGAAATGCAAAAGAGGCATAGATCATAGATCTAATCTATTCGAAGCAGCTAAATGAATGCATAAACATATTATGTATGAATATATATATATATGTGTGTGTGTGTGATTACAAGTAATTTCACATGTAATTAGTTACATTAATGGTAATCAAACAATAATAAACCATGACCACTTTTACCATAAATGAGTGCTATAAACCATCAAATTGTGGGTTATTTTTTTTTACTAACATTAAATCACGGAGGGCTATTTTTTTTGGGAATTGTTTCCCGTTTTTTTTTGGGATTTTTTTTCCCGTTTTCGGAAGGAAGGAAGGAAGGAAGGAAGGAACAACAACAACAACCAACAACACCAA